GTCACCTTCTCATGCTGACTCCCATCAGCTCCATATAGTCTCGAAAAACTTCAGCTTCCACCGGATCTGGTGACGCGTCTGTTGTCGCTTTTAAACTTCTTATTGACAGATTCCACTCTTCTGCTGTTTGTAGGACTGCATGCGCAGATGCAAGGCTGAGTGTTATATTCACTTCTCGGATATTGTTTCCTTGAGTAGCTTGAGAGCATACCATAGAGGCAGCGAGATTCTGCGTCTGGGGCTCCAGAAGATGACCGCAGTTTCGATCGAGAGCAACGCATAGCCGGTTACATAGCAATATATTGGCTTGGCACGTCAGAAGATTCTCTAGCTTCCTTGGGGCATCGGATGAAGAGCTCTCATCTTGCGAATGTTTCTTCTGCTGCCTGTCGAGAAGCATTTGTTCGCACATTTTGTGTTTCAAAAGCAAGAATTTTTGACGCTTCTCGAAGACCTTTCGACGCAGAGACTCATGTAGGGCCGTATCATTTAAGTTGGCATCCATAATGAAAACTGAACACTCTGCGACGATACGTGCAAAAGGTATCATAATCTCATACAATGCAATGATCATTTCGCTGCGGGATGAGAATAGGTCGGCGGGGGATAAAGAAGATCGTAGAGTACACATCCACTCTTCTTGCTCAAGGAAACAAGAGGTATTGGTAAAAAAAGACTCTGTTAACTATTTCTGGAGTCAGCTCCAAGTACGAGCAGTAAATGGCACGTACTTACAATGATGCCTACTTGGCTCATCAACAGAGACTTCTCGAAATCTGTCGTAAAGTTCGCGGGTCCACGGTGTGCTATCAACTGAGCCATGCCAGATGCATGGTGAACCCATGCTTGATTCACATCCTTGTTTAAAAACTAATTGAAGTGACCATGTCAATCTAAGCTCGGAGGATAGAGTCTACACTCCTATATCCCCATGACCTTGCCTAGGACTTACCTCAAAGAGACATAGTAGGGCAGTCGCACAAAGGGTCTCGGCGGAGAGAGATCTCACAGGATCATCAAACGCATTTCGAAGGCTCTTTAATGCTTTTGTGTGGAGAGAGATGAGAAAAGGCGATATGGAACCATGTGGTGCTCTAGAGGTGCACAAATCTTGAAAGGCAACCGTGACACATTTGACAGCAGTATCTATAGCATCATCATTTCCCAGTCGGCAGGGAATATCGAACAGATACGATGGCTGTCCAAGATCTGACATGAGGGATTGTGTCAGGGCCTTGGCTGGAGTTATCCGTCTAATGGCTAAGCGGCCTATGTGTATTGTTGTAAGCGGAGACAACAATGCTATGGTTTGCTGTTCTTGGGTGAACTGAGATAAAGAAACAGCAGCCGTAGGATGCCCAAATTGTGCAACCCGTCTCATTTGAGAAACACGGGTTGCCGCGTTAGTGGTCTCTCGCGGTGATCTCACCGAGACTTGACCACTTGATTCGGCGGTCCATTTGCAGCTGAGCTTGTTCCGCATACATGCGGCGCAACGAGGCTTCTTGTCATCACATTTTTTTCGACGGCTCCGACAAGGAAGACACCCTTTTCGCGGTTTCGGGGGCGAACTGCGTTCCTGCGCCTTCCCGATGACCTCCTCGCTCTGATCATAGAACCGGACGGCCGTGAGATCTCGATACCCGGAGCATTCTCGGTTTACTCGAAAGCACTGCGAGCACGACGGTCGCCGTTGGTCGCACTGGTCGAGTTAGCAGCTTATCCGAGCGCCGTGGAGTCTCTCCAAACCTTGAGGCGCCGTGTCCGACACAAGGCACAGCCTGGACTTAGTTGCCTTCCGTAGACCATGGGGACCGAGTGTACGAACTGGATGCCAAACACGGTCAAAATCTCGGTTGAAGATGGTTGAGTCCCAAGTTCAGGGAGTGGGGTTGGCAGAGCTTGAATGGGAACACGATGGGGCCGAAACTAGTACTTTAGTCTGATAACAAGGACGGCCTGACAGATGGGCTGAAAGGATAAGCCGGCGTGAGGATTGGAGGAATTTACTCTGAAAGTGGGGCCCATGAGTTGCATACCCTATTAGCGATAGTGAATTCGTCCCATCCTCGGATTCCGACGACAATGAATTCTATTGTCAATTCAACGGTTGATAAGGCCTACTACTGTGGACCGGATGAGCAAGTACTACGGTCGATAGAAGATTTACATGGGTTGTCCTGCGAGAGGTCTGCAGAGACCATTTTCATTCAGATGACATTGCTATGATTCTTCGTGGATAGGCACGGATGTCCTGTTATATTTGTCGATCAGGGAAGAGATGTACTGCACTCCACGTTCAGTCTAAAATGAAGTGTTCTATAACTTCTGATAATAGCATTTGACCTACATCACGCCTCTTCAACACTGATGCCTGCGTTTCGGAAGGGCTCTTTTGTACTTTGCTCCCTAGCGCCTACACAGTCCACACACCACTCCAAGAAGGTATCAAAGCCCTGTTTAGGAATATCTTTATAGTATACACAATGCCTCTGATTGAAGGCTTTAAGCTCGGAGAGGAATTCCTCGATTGGATTTAGGTCAGGTGAGTAGGGCGGCAGGTACATTAGCTTTACCCCCGCATCTAAACACATTTGCGCTATATAGTCGGAGTGATAGAAAGATGCGTTACCTAGTTATCACTAAAATAGACTTAGGCTCAGGCCACCTTCCGTAATGTTGCAGAAGCTCCTTAACGAAATCATCAAAAACTAGAGCGTCTGTCGAGCCCTTGAATACTCGGGACAGACCGATTCTATCCTAGGAGTATGCGGGCGAAATCTAGTACCGTTGCTCGCGATGGAATTTAGAGACCTAGACCGGTGTAGTGCCGAGCGGTGACTAACCTGCTCGCCTGAAGCCAATCCGTTTATCACATCTAGACCCGTCAATATACACTAGATGGTACGACTAAAATTTAGATAGGTTACGTAGGTAGAAATCCCGTAGATCGGCATTCCGTTCCCTCGCTTTCTATCGAGTAGCCTTCTTTGACTATTTCTTAGAGATCAACGCTCTCCTAATACTAGAGGTTATTGTATGTGTCCCAAACTCGTCCTATAGAAAACTTCCATCTCATTGAGGTAGAGATTAGGCTTTTCCAAAAGATGCTCATAGAGAGCCTCTAAAATCGGTGGTGTGATAGTACGCAGTCTACCCGCTCGAATGGGAAGATCTCTAACCGTAGGTTGCTACGGATAGTGGTAATAGACCACGGGTAGTATGTTAACGCCTCATTGAACAATAAACGTCGAGAAAGATGCCATGCACTAGCGTCCAGTTATCGGTGTCCAATGAATTGTCGTCATTTTGGCGTGGATGAGGAGGGGTGTCTCCTCTTTTGCTTTGACTTGCAGGGTCTTTAGATCCGGCGGTCCGGCGGTCTCGACAAGTCGAGATTGACGAGAAGTATTTGTGATGTGCAATTTGTTATCACTTCTAAGGAATCATAGTCATGGCGACAGCAACTGAGTCGCTTCATTTTGATCAGCTACACATAAGCGATGCAGGCTCGTCCATCGTTTCATTTGAACCGTTTAATCTTCCACCGTCAAACCAGCGCATGCTTGGACCTCCGCACCCCAAGGAAACAGTGATTCCCCTCGCTCTCAAACTCACCAACGAGTCGCAGAATCCAAGTCTTGATAGCATCGTCGAGACCGTTAAGTCTCTGCAAGAACGAGATGGCACACTTACCAAAAGCCTCGCCAGACATGGCACGCTTCTCTTCCGCGGTCTCCCCATTCACAACGCCGAGGAATTTAGCAAATTCGCCCATGCCTTCGGCTACAAGCCGCACGAGATCATCGGCATCGTAGTTGACAGGCCTCTCCTTGCCCCGAACGTGGCACCGGCAAATGAGGCACCCAAGGAAGTTCTCATCTACAGTCACAACGAATCACCACAGGTACCTCATGCCCCAGAATACATCTTCTTCTACGGCCACCGTGCTCCTCAGAACGGCGGGGAATCACCTATCTCCTCGTCGCTGGAATTATTCTACCGCGCGCAGCAAGAAATCCCCGAGTTCATCGCCGAGCTCGCGGAGAAAGGCATCCTAAGCAGGGTCACCTACAAATACGAGAAGCAATACGAAGGCGGGTCCACCCTCCGTCAGGCCTTCGGGAAAGACATAGTCGAGGGCGACTCCGACGAAACCAAGCGCCGCAAAATCGAGGCCCAGATTGCGCGGTATGGCCGCGGCAAGTATACGACGTGGGCATGGACGGACGACGGGCTCATCCTGACGCACCGCTTACCGGTGGTCAGGACGCAGCCAGAGACGAATTTGCCGACGCTGTTTACGGGCCTGGCTTCGTACTGGAAGAATGCGCAGGTCAATGCTGGCGCACGGAAGAATGTCACGCAGCAGCTTTTTGGGGATGGGAGTGTGATCCCGGAGAAGTATTTGGCGCATCTGGCCAAGATCACGGATGAGATCCGGGTGTTGCATAAATGGCAGGAGGGAGATGTGTTGGTTTACGACAATGTGATTGCGCAGCATGGGAGGGAACCGTGGCAGGGCGAGCAGGCGGATCGAGTGGTGTTGGCGAGTCTGTTCGATGGCGCGAGTGTACCGGGCGCATACGGGTTTGGAGACTGGGCGAGGGTTGTGCAGGCTTTGGATTGAGAGTGTAGATGGGACTGACATGTATTGGTGCATAGTCAACTTATGCTGAATTGTATTTCAGTTATCACAGTGCATCTTGAAGCAAGTCTCCATACAACCGCCCATCTGGAAAGTGACTACCCCATTTCAGGAACATATATAGCACTAGCCCACCGAAAATTAGCACCACCACCCCTCCTCAGGGTTACAAAACTAGACATACGAGTACACAACACATCAATTGGCCAGAAACCCAGCCAATCCATTCAGTATACACCCAGTTTCTATCCAATCCCTTCCTTCCGCGTCCCTACCTTCTCCCTCTATGTACAAATTTGCACGTGAAAGCGCCACATGCAGAAGCTCACTCAGCGCAAGACCCACGCGCAGATCAAATCCGGATGACGTCCTGTACCCTCCGATTGCGATCCACGACCAACCGAAGCTGTCTGCCCTGCCAATCCGACTGTGTCGTCGCTGCAGCGGCGCAGCCTCTGTTATACGACGCGGGCTTGAAGGCGCCTTCGCGAAGGGTTTCGGTGAAGAGCTCGTAGGAGGGGTAATCTGTGTTTTGATTACGTAGCTTGGGTCAGCTTGAGATTGAGAATTGGGGAGCAAGGTAACGTACAGCCATCGACGAAGTGGTTTACTTGTTCCTCGGTCATTCCTGTGCCCTTGGCGGTGCGGAGGGTTCGTTCTTGTTCCTGGCGCCAGTCGTAGACGAAGTGGTTATCTTGGGCGTCGCTGTCAAGGCGCATTGATTAGTGGGTTGAATGCAATCAAGGCTTGAGGCGTAAAAGCATACATATGGATCAAGGCATCGAGCTTGCTGGCGGAGTAAAACATGTTAGCAATGAACAAATCAAGTCCAAATAGTTAGGAGCCACTTACTCCGTCAGCACATCGTACCGCTTCAATGCTTCATTAACAGCCCGCACATGCTCAAACTCGACATATCCCAAGCGTCCCCGATACCCACCAGCCTCTTTCTGGCGCACGGCATCCTCCCACTTTTCGCGCAGAGTCCGCTCATCCCACGCGCGGAACCCGACGCACCATCCCTCAAAGATCACCACTTTCACCTTAGGTTCCCCCTCTCCATTGACAACCTCCCATTGTTCGCGTGGGACGCGATCCCCCTGTCCCTGGAATGCAGACTTGTCATACTGCGGGATGGCAGTCGGACGCTCCGCAGCTAGAGAGGCAAAGACCTGCTCGCCGAGCTCTAGATCATGCGTCGATGGCTGGCCGCGGTGCTGGAGGAGCGGGTTGGAGGGATGGGCCTGCGCCAGAGACACCTGGTCGGCATGCGTGAGGTAGAGGTCATCGAGGGAGAAGGTGACCACGGAGAGAGAGTAGGGCGGAGAGCGGAGGGTGTTGTAGAGGGTGGATACCTCGGAGGAGGTTAGTTATGCACTGCATCTGCACAGAGAGAGTTCCCGAGGCTCGTTGGGACCGGGGACGGGATAACGGCTGCTTACCAGCACGGTCTTGCCGGCGCCCTGGACCCCATTCAGGCCCAGGAAGAATGGCGGGGTCCGGTCGGCGGCATCGGCATCGGCAGCGGTACCATGGCGCTCGGCGTGGGCTTGGAGGCGGGATAGTAGGAAGGGGATACAGTGCTGGGACTTGTCATCCACGATCTCCGGCATTGTGGGGAGATAATGGTGGTTGTGGGAGTTACAATCTGCCGGGGTGATTCAATTCGACCCCAGATTCCGCCGCTCGGAGTCCACTCTCCTCCTCTTTCCGTGACAATAGTTAGATCCGGTAAGTGAATTATGGCATAAAAGCAGTTTCATGATTATGAAAAATCATCATCATCATCATCATCTGACCAGCCCACCATACCAATGACATTGAGCTATTCCACCTGATAAAATTATCTGGACTTCGAGGTGATCTCCGTGATGACGCACTGTCACATGGGGTACCTGGGGGTTCTATGGGCACCACCGCGACCGATGAAGTACCTTCTCAGTTGTAGTACATCGGAGGAGAATGACCATCGGAGTCCTAGAACATCCACAATAATATAATCCGAGTAACTAACTAGTAGTCGAGTAAGGACCAAAGATCTATCCTCTTCGGCATGTGAAGCAGGGCATCTGCCACGGTAATGATACATCCGCATTACCTAACTTACCGCAGGCCACTGAGCCGAGGTCCCCGGCCGTACCGAGCTGCGGCCCTTAAACTCCCCTCTTCCTCTTTCTTCCTTCTTGCTTATAACTTGTCCCTTCTCTAGTTCTTCCTCCCTAAAACTAGTCGGACATTTCATACTCTTCCTCTTGTCTTTCCTTTCCCCCCGCAACAGAATGTCCGAGTTGCGTTTCGATAACCAGACCGTCGTGGTCACCGGTGCCGGTGGTGGTCTAGGGAAGGCCTACGCCCTCTTCTTCGCCGAGCGCGGTGCCAACGTCGTGGTGAACGACCTCGGTGGCTCTCACAAGGGTGATGGCAAGTCATCAAAGGTGTGTCCCTTCTGCTACAACCCCGACAGGCTCTGTACTAACCATGTGAAAGGCGGCCGATGTCGTGGTCGACGAGATCCGCGCCGCCGGCGGCAAGGCGGTCGCCAACTATGACAGCGTCGAGAACGGCGAGGCGATCATTGAGACTGCCATCAAGAATTTCGGTCGCGTCGATGTGCTCCTCAATAACGCCGGTATCCTGCGGGATATCAGCTTCAAGAACATGAAGGATGAGGATTGGGATTTGATCAATCGGGTGCACACCTACGGTGCCTACAAGGTATGTGTTGGCTGTACTGCAGTTGCGCGACTCGATTCTAACTGGTCGTCAGTGCGCACGCGCCGCGTGGCCTCACTTCCGGAAACAAAAGTATGGCCGGGTCATCAACACCGCCTCGGCCGCTGGCCTGTTCGGCAGCTTCGGCCAGGCCAACTACTCGGCTGCCAAGCTGGGTCAGGTTGGTTTCACTGAGACCCTGGCCAAGGAGGGTGCCAAGTACAACATTATCGCCAACGTCATCGCTCCCATTGGTAAGCTAAGACACACTCCAAGGATTTGACACAGACGACTGACTGCAATCCAGCTGCTTCCCGCATGACTGCCACTGTGATGCCCCCAGATGTCCTGGATAACCTCAAGCCGGACTGGGTGGTTCCCCTCGTGGCTGCTCTGGTCCACTCCTCCAACACCACCGAGACTGGTGGTATCTATGAAGTTGGCGGTGGCCACATGGCCAAGCTCCGCTGGGAGCGTGCCAACGGCGCTCTTCTGAAGACTGATGACTCCCTGACCCCTGGTGCCATCGCCCGCAAGTGGAACGAGGTCAATGACTTCTCCAAGCCGGACTATCCCACTGGGCCTGCCGATTTCATGGGCTTCCTGGAGACTGGCCTGAAGCTGCCTCCTGCCCCGTCGGGAGAGGAGCCTGACTTCAAGGGCAAGGTGGCCCTGATCACCGGTGGTGGCAACGGTCTCGGCCGTGCCTACTGCCTGCAGTTTGCCAAGCTCGGCGCCTCCGTTGTGGTCAACGACCTGGTCGACCCGGAGCCCGTGGTCCAGGAGATCAAGAAGATGGGTGGCAAGGCAGTTGGCAACAAGGCCTCCTGCGAGGACGGTGATGCCGTTGTCAAGAGTGCCATCGATGCCTTTGGCCGCATCGATATCCTGGTCAACAACGCCGGTATCCTGCGGGACAAGGCTTTCACCAACATGGATGACAACCTTTGGAACGCGGTGATCAACGTCCACCTGCGTGGTACCTACAAGGTCACCAAGGCTGCCTGGCCCTACTTCCTGAAGCAGAAGTATGGCCGTGTCGTCAACACCGCCTCCACCAGCGGTATCTACGGCAACTTCGGCCAGGCTAACTACGCTGCTGCCAAGCTTGGTATCCTGGGCTTTTCGCGCACTCTTGCCATGGAGGGCGCCAAGTACAACATCAAGGTCAACACTATTGCCCCCAACGCGGGTACCAACATGACCCGTTCTATCATGCCCGAGGAGATGGTCCAGGCCTTCAAGCCGGACTACGTCGCCCCTCTGGTGGTGCTTTTGTGCTCTGACATGGCCCCCGAGCCCTCGACCAAGGGTCTGTACGAGTGCGGCAGCGGCTGGTTCGGCCGCACCCGCTGGCAGCGCTCTGGCGGCCACGGATTCCCCGTGGACGTCAAGCTGACCCCCGAGACCGTTGTCTCCAAGTGGAAGGAGATCACCAACTTCGAGGACGGCCGTGCTGACCACCCCGAGGATGGCCAGGCTGGTACCGAGAAGATCATGGCCAACATGGCCAACCGTGCCGGTGGTGACGCTGGCGCGAACGAGACCCTCCAGAACATCGAGAAGGCCAAGTCGCTGACCACCGAGGGCACCGCATTCGACTACGTCGACCGTGATATCATCCTTTACAATCTGAGTCTCGGTGCCAAGCGCACCGACCTGCCTCTGGTCTACGAGAACAACGAGCACTTCCAGGCTCTTCCCTCGTACGGTGTGATCCCCTGGTTCAACACCCAGACTCCGTGGAACATGGACGATATCGTCAAGAACTTCTCCCCCATGATGCTGCTGCACGGTGAGCAGTACATGGAGATCCGCAAGTTCCCGATCCCCACGGCTGCCAACACCCTGACCTACCCCAAGCTCATCGACGTGATCGACAAGGGCAACGCTGCCCTCGTTGTGGCCGGCTACACCACCAAGGACGCCAAGACCGGCGAGGACCTCTTCTACAACGAGTCGACTGTCTTCATCCGCGGCAGTGGCGGCTTCGGTGGTTCTCCCAAGCCCACGGCTGCTCGTCCCAAGGGTGCCACAGCCGCGTACAAGGCCCCGCAGCGCAAGCCCGATGCCGTGGTGGAGGAGAAGACCTCCGAGGACCAGGCAGCTCTGTACCGCCTGAACGGCGACCGCAACCCGCTGCACATCGACCCCGAGTTCAGCAAGGTCGGGGGCTTCAAGACCCCCATCCTGCACGGTCTCTGCTCGCTCGGTGTGTCTGCCAAGCACGTCTTTGCCAAGTACGGCGCCTATAAGAACCTCAAGGTTCGCTTTGCCGGCGTCGTCCTCCCCGGTCAGACCCTCAAGACCGAGATGTGGAAGGAGGGCAACACTGTCCTCTTCCAGGCTACCGTTGTCGAGACTGGCAAGCCTGCTATCACTGGCGCGGGTGCTGAGCTGCTGGATGGCGCTAAGGCGAAGCTGTAAGATATGGATCGGGATCCCCGCTTGATGCGATATATCTCGACATGAAAGTTTGAGCATTGCTCCGGTCAAATTGTGCCTTTGTTTTTTCTCTCTTTCCTCTTTTGTATATACATACCTCCGGTGTCTGTTGTATTGTTGTTTCTTATGAGATCAATGGGATCTTCTTCGATTTAAAATTCCGTTCAATGTAGGAGCTTGACATGACAGAGCGAGCTAGCTAGACCGTACACGTATAAAATTAAAAAATAGAATAAGGATGTCGTGCAGACCACAGTCCACGATGAGCATGTGGCCAACTCGTCTATAGTTCGTCCAACCACGATCCGTCTTACATAACCCCAGGCAACATTAACTATTTTCTTTGTCTCATTCCTCACATCACCACCCCAACTGCGTCCTTCTTACCCTCCTTACCCACTTACCCCCTCAGTCGTTCCAGCTATCTCTGCAAACATCTATCTTACCGACGATGTAGCACTGCCCTCCCGCGATACAATGGTGCTCTCGCTACCAATCCCCTACTTTTCCCGGGCCTCCACATCGCCCCCACGCCCCGCTGGCAGTGACAGCTCCTCTGCCTCCTCCGCAGCACTGGCATCTCAGTCCCGCCGACACCGCAACTCAACCGGCTCTGGCTCCTCATCAAACTCCTCATCCAGCCGCCAAATTTGGAGACCTGCCGCCCTAGGCGGTTCCTCCTCGTCCCCCGCTACCGGTGGTGCGTCGCAGAGCAGCAACAGCAACTCCATTACGCTCAGCGAGGCACTACGCAATAACCCCTTCGGGAGCACGCCGCGCGCTCGCGCAGTCCAGGTCTCTATTCGCGAGGCGGAAGATCTGAAACGCGAGCAGGATGAGTTGAATGCTGCGCTGGAGCAGCTTGCGCGCATCTTTCCCGATGTCAAGATCGAGGTGTTTAGGGAATTGCTCGTGCGATTCGATGGTCTCAGTCGGCTGCAGGTGTGTGTTGAGCAGTTGCTGAGACATAAGGATGAGTGGGTCGCTGGGAGGTGGAATCTTCCCGAGGCGAATGGAACGACAGAGCATCGTGGGAGTCGGCATGATGGTGGAAGCGCCGATGAGCTGGTTCCTACCGAGGAAATGTTTCGGTCTGAGGAGTACAAGATTGTCGTCCGAGCCGTTCTGGGCAAGGAATTCAGTGGCCTGAGCAAGAGTACCGTCGACGCTGTGCTGGCTGAGGTCAACTTCAGCTATACGCGGGCACGGCCGACATTGCGGGATCTATCGCGTCGGACGTGGCGCGCTACTTTTAATAGCATCTTCCCCTCCTTCAGGCGAAAGAAGGATCGAGACGAGCACCCGCTTGTGGGGTGGCAGCGCCGGACAGACGGAGAGCTGCTGCCGCGGCTGAAGGAGACAGGGTGTGCTGAGCTGGATGGGGAGCTCCACACGACCCTGGTGGCTCCGTTGCTGCAGCAAAAGCGCGAAGAGCAGGAAACTGGTGATTTTGTGGTGGCTTCTGAGCTGAATGAGATGGAGGCCAAGGCAGTTGATGCCATGTATGAATGCGAATGCTGCTTCGCGGACGTGACATTCGAGCAGATCGCCACATGCTCGGCCAACACACATGTCATTTGTCACCGTTGTATTCAGCGGACGACTCACGAAGCGCTTTTCGGACAAGGCTGGGGCAAATCCGTGGACCTGGAACGGTCGACGCTCAAATGTCTTGCGCCGCTTTCGGTCAGTGTCTGCGACGGATGTCTTCATCCAGAAGTTGTCCGGCAGGCAATCCTTCTCGACACGTCCGGTTTCGAGACCTACCGCAAATTTGAAGACCGACTAGCCTCGGAGGCTCTCCTCAAGTCACAGCTAAAGCTCATCCGCTGTCCGTTCTGCTCGTACGCCGAAGCCGACCCGGTCTATCACCCTTTGTCGCGGGGCGTCCGCTGGCGGATTCGTCGCGATGGGGGACTTATCCCAACAATTCTCATGACGCTCTTCCTTCTTGATCTGATTCCCTTACTCGTCATTCCGGTCTTGGTACTGCTTCTCTTCGATCCTGCCGCCGTCAAGGCCATTTTCCATAACGCCATCCGCAATCTCTGTCTTAAGGTCCGTCCCAAACGTTTTACCTGCGCCAGACCTTCCTGTCAGCGCGTCAGCTGCATGACATGTCAGAAGCCGTGGCGCGACCCCCATGTTTGTCATGAGCCACTGTTGCTCGACCTGCGCGCCACCGTCGAGGCTGCCCGCACTGCTGCCGTGAAACGCACCTGCCCCCGGTGTGGGCTATCATTTGTCAAGTCCTCAGGCTGCAATAAGCTGACTTGCGTCTGTGGCTATTCTATGTGCTACCTCTGCCGCAAGGCCCTCGGTTCGCCAGGACGGCCCGTCAGAGCGCACAACGATGGCCGCGGCCCTCTTCCACAACGCCGCCTCGCCATCTACGACGGACTCGTTGAAGATGGAGCGGGCCATTTTCCCGATTACCAAGATGATATCTCCGAAGACGACGAATTCGAAGAACCCGAAGGCTACAAGCACTTCTGCGAGCACTTCCGAATCAACCCGGGCTCCCGCTGCACCGAGTGCAGCAAGTGCGACCTCTACCAAGCCGAAGACGAAGAAGCCGTCGCCCGGCGCGCGGGAGAAAAAGCCGAGCGCGAGTGGCGTCTCCGACAGGGCGCATCCAACAACGGCAGCAGCACCACCGCTTCGGCAGTGGGGTTCCGCAACGTCAACCGGGATTTTTCTTCGTCGACAGAAGGCCGCGCTATCGATCGTCGCTCCTCGTCTGCGTTGTGGGATCTACAACTCATCGGACCGGGGAAGCCGTGGGCTTACTGGGTGAATGATGTGTGGATTGATGGCAGGTGGAAAATTGAAGGACAGGCTCTGGCGGACTGGATCGTCGAACGGGTTGTCGTTATCGAGGAGGTATGACGATACCACTGCTGTCGTTAGCCCTTTTTTACATCTTCTTGCTTCCCGGCTACAACATTTCTAATTTTTGGGGCCCTCTGTTCTTCTCGGCCTTCTTTTATCTTCTGTCCTTGTTTTATCATCTCTCGGGTTTGTGAAAACACGCTGCAAAATGGGTTGGCGTCTCTCTCGCGATGGCTCGGGACCGGGATATCATTCGGGGCTTTTCTTGTGCTTCTGGGGCTGGGTAAACGGATGGGATGGATGGTGGGCATGGATGGATGGACCGGGATTTTTCATTTTGCACACGATGTCATGACTGTCACGAACGAACACTGGCATTTCTTTCCCTGTCTTGTTTTAGGGCATTCAGAAGTCTGAAACACGTTACCATTTTAGGCGATAGGTAGAGGGGTTCAGACTCGTCACCACTGTACGTGATTACTCAACCGAGCTCCCAAGACCGTCCATCCCTCGGCAAGATCAAGACAAACACCAGTTTCCTAAAGAAGCAAGTAAGCATTCGTCTAAGCCTCTTCTGCCAAGGCCTCTCCACTCCTTCCTTGCACTCCTGAGCCTCTCATGTCGCGCCGCCCCACGACTCCTGACGATCAACCCCATCATTAGCAGCTTCGCAGTCAGACATATACTCAACTCTATTGTAGATAGGAAGGCAGTGTCTGCAAGGTGCCCGCGTCCCGTTTGCCATGTGGACTGTCTAGTCCCTGATGGGAATTGATTGTCGTGGGGGATGGTGAGGAATTTACTGTTAGGGTTAGACTGGTGGGTTCTATACTTCATTTTTTGGGGTACAATTCTCGCATCTGGGAAGATAAATAGGTCGCAAATCTCTCAGGATGGGTTTTCTGTTTTGTTCATCCTCATTGTAGAGTCTCACGCTTAAGGCTCGAGTTTAGAAGGACTTTGACTTTATAACTTTGTGCCATTGAGGGTCCTTTTGATATACTATCTTCACTCACAAAATGTTGCCTTCTCTTACCCTGATGGCAATTGTCATCATACCTGCAGTGCAGAGTCTACCCTCCAGCCCAGCAAGCATCTACCGCCGCTGCGGCGCAGTATCAAAATACTACGGCCAAACAACCAGCGACTGGGACACCTACCACACAGAGGACTGGCTAAACAACTGGTGGAACCGCAACAATGTGAACAAAACATCCAAAAATGCAGCCGGCTTCGCAGGCGAATTCGGCCAATGGGCAATGGGCAACCCGGACTGGTCCTGCCGGGACGACGGCTCCGACTCAGACTGCGATCTGGAACTGTGCGATAACCGCGTGCTGAACAGTCGCGGCAGTGGGCTTCGGCAGACGTACTACGTTCTCGAGGCTGTGAATCGTTTGCATACTTATTTCACGGGTATTGGAGAGGCGTTTACTACTACTGCGCTTGATGCGGCGCTCTCCAAGGACGACTGGGCGGAGACGTTCTATACGGATAAGGATGATAAGAGTGTCACAGCGCTTAAGGAGGCCCTGAGTGCTGTTGCGGCTATTATTGGTATTGGTGCTTCTTTTGCAGGCCTTGCCGGTCCTATCACAGGTGCACTTGCTGGTGCTGGCGCGGCTATGATGAGCGGATCGGCAGGTGCTGCTAATATCATCGTCGGACAACAGTGAGATAGACCCTGTTCATTCCCTCCCACATCAGCACCCAGAACTAACAATCTCCGCGCAGCGAGGACGACACGTTCGAAAAATCCGCAGACCTAGGCGGGATTCTTGGTAGCATCGTCACGCAATCTCTCAAGTCCTTCACAACAGCCAACAACCAGCTAATGGCCGGGAAAACCTACAACAACGCAGATATCCGCTCCTACCTCTCCGGCGGAGCCTTTGTAGCCTACGAAGGCGTGGACAAAAACGCCGTCACAGACGCAATGACAAACATGCTCATCGGCATCTCGGTCAATCAGCTCTACCGCACCCAGAAGATCTTTGTCATGGGCGGCGGTGCCTGCGGCGACAACCAGGGCATTGGATCTGGTCCCCAGAACGCAGTCGTATGTCGGGATGGCAAGGCTTGGTACCTGTATTACTGGCAAGAGGACGATGTCATTTCCGTGACCTCGCACCAATGGGGGTGGGTTGCTTCGCCTCCTGGGGCGGATTCTTTAGGTCAGAATGAGTATAGTGGTGTGACAGTAGAGGTATGCCTGCCTACTTCCTTTTTTCTGATCGTCTTCGCTAAAGTTCTAACCCTTCCTTGTCAGGATATCATCAACTCCTCCTTGGACGCCTACAATGTTGCCGGTTACAGCTATACCGCTGCCACAGCGGCGCAACGCGCCTCAGATGCCATCACCAATGCCTGGGCCAACCCGGGCTCAGAGGGAGCTGCGTGGGAAGGAATTTTCACCGTGCCTGTGTGCGACGTTGGCTCCGCCGTTGACGCGGACTACCAGCTCAAGGAGTATATCCTGCAGCCTTATGATCACGACAGCCGACCATGCTGGTGTGGTCCTATCTGCAATGGCGATTTGCAGACCACAAGAGAATTTATCAACGCTACTAATATGAATGGATTCCAGAGTCCGAAGCATTTGTGTGATACGGATCCAGGGTATTAGGTCAGGTTGATTGGAAAAGGCATTGCATTGTCTCTCTATCCTGTCTGTATAAACTCATCTTTTTGCTGAATATCAGATTTGTCATAAAGTTAAGGACCACGGCCTATATGTATATATGTAGTCCTTAGCATGCACACCCCTTAGCTTCGAGGAACAGAATCAACCATCTCTCATCTCCTCATCAGGCTCTCCCTTCACCCTTTTCTTCCCCTCCTCCTTCAAGGCTTCGTCATCTTGCCGACTTAGGCCCAGCTGAGGCATCAGCCAGAATGCTAGGAAAAATGCCAGGGAGGCAAGTGACGCCCCGATAATAAATATAATACGGAATCCTTTTCTATACGCCGGAATGAGAATGCCACGCACATGCTGCGCGTTTTCCGGAGAAAGGCCCGACAGATATGCCTGCGGACTTGAGAGGAGTGAGCGAGATTCGACTTCACTGAGACCGAGGTTCGAGACAGAAGATGCAATGACGTTGTTTCTGATGATGTCAGTTTACAGATGGTTTAATCGCAACAAAAAAAAAGGGGAGGCCTTACATGATTGTTCCGGCAATGGCGAGGCCTAGAGTACCGCCAAGGTTTCGCACGAAGCTGGAATTCTGTTAGTGTTTGTGGATGAAACTGATGATAATTACCCACTTTCGAAATGAAGTGACAACAGCCATGTCACGCCGATCGACACCAGCCTGGATTGCGATCAGAGCGCTACATGCCGTTAGCATGCTCTTTGGAAGTTTGCACAAAACCTACGGTTGTAAGGTGTTTCCCACGCCAAAACCTGTCAAAAGGCCATATCCGATCTGTTTACCCAGACCAGAAGACTGGTCTAGGGTCGAAAGAAGACCAAGTCCGATAGCCCAGATGATCCAGCCAAGTAGGATGGCTTCTCGATAGCGGCCGACCCAGTGCACTACAAGTCCTGATGCGGTGCTGCTCACGGCTGTGGAACTCATTGGTCAGTTTTGTACCTGCACAAGAGAGAGGAAAACCATCGTACTTTGCATTAAAGTTATCGGCAGCAGCATTGCACCAGATTTCACGGTGGAATACTCAAATACCAGCTGATAGAAAGTCGGTATGTAGTACACTTGCACCAGAAAATTCCACCCGTTAATGAACATTGTCAAGGATGCGCCATTGACGATGCGGGATCGGAATATGTGCATGGGAACGAGTGGAATAGATGCACCTTTCCATTGCCAAATGACAAAGGCAACGGAAATTACAATACCGATCACAATTGTTGCAATAACATGCGCTGAGTTCCAGACATACTGGCCGCCACCCCAAGTGAGGCCGAGAATCAAGACAGAAGTGCCGCCGAGGGCTAGGAGAACACCAAAGAAGTCAATTGCCCTCAGCTTGGTTTTCCAATCACCAGCCACCTTGCGTAGTGGCATAAAAAATAGCACCGATAGTGTCGTTATTACTGTTAGTATGAGATTCAGACGGAAGATCCAGCGCCACGAGTCGTGAGATATCGAGGCCAGCGCACCACCAATGACAGGGCCGATGCCATTTGCAATAGCAACCACTGCACCTAAAATGCCTTGATACTTTCCCCGCTCACGGAGGGGTACAATGTCGCTGACAATCATCTGCGCAACGGTCAGGAGGCCGCCGCCGCCCACACCCGTGAAGGCACGGAAGATGATCAGCTGTGTGACAGTTTGGGCGAGCGACGCTGCCAGCGAACCAATGAAAAAGATTGCAAGACCGACAAAAAGAACGGCCTTACGAGACCATATATCTGACAGTTTCCCATAAAGCAATTGGAAACACGTCGATGTTCTGCTCTATTATTAGCCCGACAGAAGCTTAAAGCTTCGTGGGATTTTCTACCACTCACATAAAGTACCCAGAGGCGATCCATGCTGTTTGGTCACTTGCGCCCAAGGCATTTCCAATAATAGACAAACTGGCCGCCAAGGTTGTTTGGTCCATCAACGCCAACAAGTCGGTGGTAGAGCAGGCTAAGAAGATCTAGGAAAAAGTCAGAGCCAGGTGCATTCAAGGTCTAGAGGCTGATGCTTACTGTGATGATGGTGCGCTTAGGCACATAATTAGTTTGTTCATTGAAAACAGCAGCTGTAGTCCCCGTGCCATTCTTATCTGCTACCACAGTGACTGCCGGCGCCTCGGATCCTTCCTGGCCTGAACTCGCAGGGACTATCGGCATGGTGTATCCTCTGTCCAAAGGTCAACGGACAAGAGATGAAGACAGGATCATGTTCTCTAAAGAAACGAAAAAAAAGGATAACGACTAATTCGATCAGGTTCTCGGGCGGAACTTGGACGAAATAGACATGGATCGACATCGTTCTCCCAAGAGAAAACGGGTGAACGGAAGACTATTGGCAGCTGATGATGATCTGCAGTATGGCAAGTTTAGAGCCCTCAAAACCTCTCAAACACTCTCACGGTACTCATCTGCAGGTAAGCCTGGACTTACTTTCTTTGGAATTGACAATTGACGACCCGAGGGGATTCTTGTGTCCCGGAATTCCATTCTCGGGGATCTGCGAAGAATGCTAAACCGAGACACGAAAGAACGGAGGAAGTGTGGATTCTAGAACAAACCGCAGACAGATACCCACGAGAATACCATACCACAGACAGGAGAAATGACGCAATTCCTTGCGCGCATCTTGCCGTTTTCGAAATGCCTGAAGATATCCACAGAAATTGTGACTAACGATATCGAGCCAATACATATGGCACTAAGCTTACAATCGGCCTGTGAGACAGATCCCTCTCCATATCGGTCCTGGTTCCAACCTACGTGATTTGCTGGCGCTTGCAGCCTGTGTTGCCTGACTGGCTTTGGTGATCATCTTTTACTCCGCGTGGTGTACCATCCCTGGATTTTGTGGGTAACTTGGCAGCAGATCTCACTCTTTTCAAGGCTTTGAGCGGGCAGTTTGAGAATAAATGATGGGCGTGGTCCGAATGTCACTATGAGAGTTTATATTCCCGCAGATCCGCCATTATATAGTGCATCCCTCCCCAAAATTCGCCATCCAACGGATCCAAGCTCGCTTCCGTACCTTGGGAGTTTGATCAAACATGGCCAACTTGAATGAGCATAATGTTTACTCTGGCCCCGATTCATTGAAGAAATACTTCGACCCGGACTGCCAGCCTCCACTGCCGCTAGTAGAGCTGCCCCGACATCTGAATCCCTATTATGACGATGGCGTACGGATATACGCCAAGATGATGACCATGCACCCGGCAAATAACGTCAAAGCAATGCCAGGTATGATAAGCCATACCTTGTGGGAGCCTAATTAGCGCTGATATCGGATTAGCGTTGAACATGCTCGAGTCGAGCGTGGAGTCCAATAAGACAAACACAATCATCGAGTACAGCTCCGGGTCAACGGTGATCTCAATGTCGATGATTGCACGGGTCATGCACGGGATTTCAGATACCCGAGCATTCCTCAGCAACAAGACCAGTGACGCCAAGTTAAAGTTGATGCAATTCTTCGGCCTCAGCATTACTCTCTTTGGCGGACCATCTCAGCCTGAACCAGTGGATGCGCGAGGCGGAATCCAAGATGCCAGAAAAATGGCCATGGAGTCTGAAACAATCGTCAACCCCAACCAATATGAAAATGACCTTAACTGGAAGGCGCACGTCCGATGGACCGGCCCCCAGATCTTCAAACAGTTGCCAGAGATCAACGTCCTCTGCGCCGGCATGGGTACTTCTGGGACCATGACCGGGCTAGGAACGTACTTCAAGAGCATCAAGCCTTCGGTTATGAGACTGGGTGTCTGCACAGCACCGGGTGACCGAGTGCCGGGCCCCAGGTCGTATGCACTATTGCGGCCAGTCGAGTTTCCTTGGAGGGAAGCTGTGGATACAATTGAGGAAGTGGGTTCCTCTGAATCGTATGCCTTGTCCCTGAACCTGTGCAGGGAGGGGCTGGTATGCGGTCCATCGTCCGGTTTCAACCTCCAGGGCTTGTTCCAAATGCTGGAGAAGCGAAAAGTAACAAGCACATTATCTGAGTTGGCCGGCCCGGATGGAATCACCCACTGCGTCTTTTTGTGTTGTGACTTGCCGTATCAGTACATCGAGGAATACTTCCAGAAGCTCGGCCCTGAGCAGTTTCCTCCAATCCAAAACGAGGTGAGTTCTTCTGCGTGTGGCATCTTGATTACTGTAGCAGAAAGCTAACCATATTGTCTTCTATGATAGCGCCTGGCCAAAGTCGACCTCCATCGATACGACGAGAGCTGGGAGCGCGACGCATTGGAGATCCTCCCACAGTTTTACGGATCACCTCGGAGCCTTGCACAATGCCGTCTGAACGAGATTACTCCGAAGCCACAGAACTGGGTGATAGATTTGCGCAGACTGCCCGATTTCCACGCCTGGCATCTTCCCGGCTCGGTGAATCTCCCTCTGTCGAGCCATGGACCGCATACACCGTCCCCGTTTTCAGATGCGGCAGTGCTTGAGGCTCAGTGGGTGGAGTTGGAGAGAATCTTCAGCAATGCTAGCTTGGTTTCAGATCTTGATTCACATCGTGTTTTGTTGTTGTGCTATGATGGGAACACGGCACGCGTGGCTACCAGCGTGCTGCGGGCAAAGGGCGTGGAAGCGGACAGCATACGTGGCGGCTACCAGGTGCTTCGGTCGTACGGTATCGGGGACGATTTAGTTCCCGCCTCCAGCAAAGTGCCCTACCAGACAACCGTTTCCGTGTAGGCCATGCCCCTTGACTGAGCTGTCGGAGATCGGTGGAAGCGAGATTATCGCGCGGAATGTAGGGTTAGAGATGCCATGTGAGCGAGCCGCTAAACCAAATGCGGAAACACATCGTCTGCGCTGGTTAACCAAAGACTGGAAATCGGTTATTATCGTCAAATGTGCCCCTTGTTTGGTTGACAAAACGCTGGGCACTACTGGTCCGCCAGTGACCTCGTGTTTATTTGTCTAGATGTAATTGTGGTCCTGTAAAATGACGCTGGTGTGTTCCCTCCATATCGAAACCAGACCTCCGCACGCAACATTCCGCACAGGCCGCGACGATTATTCCACGCAAGACCTGTATGTCCGTCTTGCAGGCCTTTTTTTTTCCGCTGCCAAGACTCGTCGGTGGAGGGGAGGGCTCGGCGATGACATGAATAAGCGCAAATGTGCTCAAGTCTAACCCCAGTTGGTCAGGAACACCCGACCGCTAGCAGCAGTGCACTAAAAGACCCAAAACTTGCTCAATTGCGAGCAATCGGACAGCTCGGTTGATCAGCATCGGAGAATGTCATCGAAAACAAGCTCAAATATGAACTGCTCACCCTTGGGACACAGCATTCACTGCCTCTGTCGGTATCCGTTTTCGGTTCCGCAACTATCCCCACAGGCGATCGGATTGAAAAGGATGGTTGCACTCAGATCTGCCAAGCTCGTCCTGGGATATTTCGCGATCCGAGTTTTCCAAGTAAGATCATAGCAATAGCAATCTGAGGTGCAGGCACAACATTGCCGTCACATTCTTCTCGAGATTAGTTGAGTCTACCTGAAGGGTGCCGCGACGATGATGGATATGGACATGTCGGGAGGGGGTGTTCCCTGGCTGGACCAGCCGGTGATGCTTCATTCGTCTCGCGAAGACAACTGCACCCTGACCGAGGCACAATGTCAATATCGCTCGGGACATTGGCGATACTGGTATGCAAATGCCTCGAAGGCAGAATAAACTTACCTGCTAATCCATATATGACATTTAAGGTACCAATCCGACCACGTGTATGCGTTGAATACCGTGTACTTTATGTGTGCGACCATCGGCGTGTTCGCGATCTCGAATTTCCTCGTCAGATACGTGCCCGACAGTGTCAAGAGGACCGCAGTGTGGCGCAAGATAACCTCCGTCTCGCGCTACTTCGCCTACCGGGGATATAGATTCCATGCTATGCAATACTGGTCTCCCTCGTTGGGGGTGATTATGCTAGTAGTGGTCGGCGCTGTTTTTTTCTTCGGTAGGTGCCACGCGAAGACGCCTCGAAGAATGTGAGCTGATCAATATGACAGCAATGACGCTTGGACCCCAGCCTTACTACTGGCCAACGAATGCCAGCTACGGAGGCAGCCCACCTATCGCGACCCGATCTGGCTGGATGGCTCTTGCATTGCTGCCTTTTGTACTGTGAGTTTCGAATTTTTCGGAACGTCTGACGAGCTACTGATAGCCATCCCTAGAGCATTGAGCGCCAAAGCAAATATGATTTCTGCCTTGACTGGTGTTCCACATGAGAAGCTCCAGGTAAGGTTTTCATCTGCATCTTCGAGAATATGGAATTAACCCTGAACAGGTGTTCCACCACTGGGCCAGCTATGCCATGTTCGTTCTGGCCTTAGTCCACACGTTTCCCTTCATCGTCTACAACATTTCGCAAGGTGATATGGTAAACGAGTGGAAGACAAGCTTAGTCTACTGGACTGGAATTGGTGCTATCATTCCGCAGGCATATCTGACCATCATGTCTTTACCTTTCATCAGGTAAGACAGACAGCCTGTAGCCCAGACCAAGACAGAGCAGAGATTAACAAGCATATTCAGGAACCGTTTCTATGAGTTCTTCAAGGCAACTCACATCTTTGCAGCTGTGGTGTTTGTTGTCTTCTTTTTCCTTCATTGCGACTTCCGCCTCTCCTCTTGGTAAGAACCATCTTTGACCTCAATCTGCAGCAAGTCACTAAGAATTGAAAAGGGATTACTTCATCGCCACCGGCACAATATATCTTCTCTGCCTCTTCACTGCGCAAATTCGCACCTATCTCATGCATGGCCTTCACCGCGCAATGCTCGAGCGCCTCCCCAGCGGTCTCGTCCGTGTGACCGTGCCAACCATCATCAAATGGACTCCCGGCCAACACTTCTTCATCCGCTTCCTCACGCCAGACCTACATCTTCTCACTGCACACCCATTCACCATCTCCTCTGCCTGCCGCGACCCAGATGCAACAGGCAAGGCATCCGAGCTGGTCTTCTACATCAAGCCGCACGGCGGCGTAACCGCCCGTCTTGCAGCCCTCGCAGAACAACGACCCGGCGGATCCAAGAGAATCCTCCTGGAAGGGCCGTACGGCGGCGTAAGCGCGCCTCACATGGCTCGCTTTGACATCATCCTAGTGATCGCCGGCGGCTCCGGTGGCGGGTTCTCGCTCGCCATGGTCGACGAGGCTCTCCGCCTAAACAGTCTATCCGACGGCAGCAGCACCAACAAGCCGTTCTGTGAAAAGGAATGCCGCCGCCGGAACCTGCAGGTCGTCTATGCGACGCGCGACACTGCCATGGCAGACTGGTACGTCGAAGAGATCGAGTCGCGCCTCTCCCATTCGACCACACTGGCCACTACGGCAGACAACGGCTTCGACACATCGGTCTCCGTGCATATCACCTCTCATCGCACGTCAGCCCCCTCACAGCCTCCCTCGAGCGGATCCGTCTCTACGTCGAGCCCCGGCACTCCCTCCACCAACGCAGAGAAAGAGAATGAAAAGGAGACGTCTGGCAAAAATGGAACCGAAATTACGACGACAGGTTCTTTTAGCGTGAATGTCAGCCGCGATGCCCGTCCGTACATCCCCGATCTCATAGCGCGCACTGTTGCCTCCGCGCGCGAACAGCGCTGTCCTGGAGGGCGGAAACCGCGCATTGGCGTAGTGGTGTGTGGGCCGGCGTCTATGTTGCATGATACCCGGAACGCGGCAGCGGCCGCGCAGAAGAGCGCCCTAGCTGGCGAGGTGGAGGAACTGTATTTGCATTCGGAGCCTTTTGCGTGAGTTTCCCTAGATCATAAATGTTGAAACGTGCTGACTATAAATGATTGCAGGTGGTAAACGCTATTCTATACATTATTTAGGGTTGATTGTCTGTCTACTCTTAAAGAGGAAGAGATTGTGGAATAATATAATTTCTAGATTAGCTCCTACTCGCAGAAAATCACGCTTCTATACCTTGAGATGGTGTAGAAATGGACGGACAGATCTAGGGTTAGAGTTCCCGGATCTAAAGTCTGGCAACTCGACCAACCTTGTAAGGCAGCGGTGGGCTTTTACACCGCTGGTAGCCCCGCTTGGATTCTGGCACTGAAACTCAATGTATACTTAGAAAGAGTGCCTAGATCTCCAACAGTTGTTCTTCTTCACATTGATAAACTTGAATGACTTATCTATTCCTTCGCCCCTTTCGACTGCGCGTAGTCACAGCATATTAACCCCGCCCACTGTGTTCCACCTGTGAGACACCTTTTCCTCTCAAACAAGGATGGCTCTTCGACACTGTGACTTTGGAGATTGCCAAAATGCGGCGGAGAGAACTTTTGGAAGCTGCATGCTTTGTTCGAAGCATCTTTGCGCTGAGCACTATGCCCCACCGCATCACAAATGCCCTTCATCTGTGAGCGGCTGCTAGATGGACTGAAGATAGACTACGTTGATTAACACTCTGCAGGAGACAGAACCTAAGGCGTATTATGCCGCATATGATGCTGCCAAGAAAACACACCTCGACTCTTTGCTGGCCAAAATCAACTTCGACGCTCTAACGTCTGTGGCTAGTAAAGCCAGGAAAGGTATTTGCTGTGTCACATTCCAGCACTGGATCATGACCTGAAACAGGCCGCATCGAGCCAGATCGGGGGCCAAAACTGCCATCTTGACTTGAAATTCGACGACGGGTCACCTGGATTGTTAGACTACGTCTCTGTGATCCCCTGCTTCCTCCACAGCCCGTTCAGGACTACGTATTCTTGAGCGAAGTCGCTACACTGGAGTTCCTCGCAGAGACCGCTGTCCCTTCCCCCAAAGTCAACATTTATCAGCTAGAATCACCCGAAAACCCGGTTGGCTCCTCATTTGTTCTTATGGAAAAGATGCCCGGAACGGCCTTGCAGTGGAATGATGCCAGCTCAGATCAGCGTACTAAAGTCATGCAGCAGTTACTGGACATATTTTTGGAGCTTGAGAAACATCCACTCCAGCAGACCGGTTCACTTGTTCCAGCGGATGTACGGGACAAGATTGGTGGATTTGCCCAGGCACCGTTATTTGAAACGCCTGGAAAGACCCTTGGTCCTTTTACAAAGCTCGAGTCTGCCTATAAAGCAATGATATCATTGCAAATGAGCGCCATTGGCAACAGAGAGATCACAAGTCTCCCTGTCGATAACTACCTTGCATTCCACTGGCGCCTCTCCGCGCTCTCATCCCTCACTTCATCCGTAGCCAACGACGGTCCTTTTTATCTCAAGCATTACGATGACAAAGGTGACCATATTCTTGTGGATGATGACTATAAAATCACGGGGATCATTGATTGGGAATCCGCTTCAGCAGAAGCAAAGCACCTGGCCTTTAGTTCGCCTTGCATGATGTGGCCAGTTGGAGATTACTATGATGGGTTGAATAACCTCTCCGAAGATGAGACTGAATTTGCACGTATGTTCGAAATCCGTGGACGTCAGGATATCTCCAAGATTGTCCTGAACGGCCGGCGATGGCAGCGGTTTTTGTTTTTCCTTGGAGGTGGGGTGGAAAACGATGAACCAACATTCGAGTCGCTGTTCCAAGGTCTTCGAATGTCTTTTGCTATTGATGGTGAAGAAAGCGTCTCGTCATACAAGGATTGGAAAGTTGAAGCCATCAATCAGTATTCAAAGGAAGACCCCATCTTGCAACGTTTGTTACGGGAGAAACGGGCTAAGTACGGAAAAGAGTAGACAGATCTAATGCTTGCTTTTGAGTAGGTGTCGAGCAAAATGTGGGCAAAATATACGCTAGACTAAAAAGTGCCAAAGGCAACATTTCATCCCTATACGGTAATCTCCACAGTTGACAAGTAGCTTTAACTAGTGCAGCCGTGTAATGGCCTGTACGGTGGTTGATAGCGGCCACCATGACAAATTTAGTAACTCATACTTTGTTTCTTACTGCTTGTAGGAGAGGAAAAATGCTAAAACAACATCTGGGTACGGGAGCCGATCAAGAGAAATAGAACGCAATGAAGAAATTTACTACGGGCGCGGACCGTAAACACTGGTGACGTTAAATTATATGCTTCAATGACTGGAGATAGCCATCCCGAGCCCCAAAGCACGGCAAGACTGCTTGGAACTTGACCAAGCGGAGCTCCGACTGCCAACCTTTCAGAGCTAGGAGCCGGACCCCGTCCAACTGCCGAGGGGTCTTTTCATGAAAAGTAGTTCCAGTCTCATGTTCTAGCTTAGGTGATTTGTCAGGCAAGTCTATCCACGCAGTTCCCCGCTATGTTGCATCACATGCAATCCGTGCATTTGTATCAGCCACGTTTCGGTGCCCGCCCTCAATTGATCTTCTCGCCTTTCGGCCTTGCGCTTTTACTTTAACTCCGAGATGGACGCCTGAATCCTGACGTGGACGCCTGAATTCTGACGTGGATATAAACTGAGTACAGAATTTCATTAGCCGATGGTCTTGACTCGTGCATGAGTCAAAGACAGTCTTCTTAAAGCAAAATGCCGTCTCACATCCTGCTTCAGAACGCAACAATCCTAGTTCCATCTGGTGAACTGAATGACTATGTGAAGTCCCTGAGGAACCATTCGTTATTGATTACGGACAACAAGATCTCGCAAATTGAACGAAATATTATTCCACCGGCTGGTGCGGAGATCATTGAATGCACTGGCAAAATTGTCTCTCCTGGCTTCATCGATACGCATCACCGCCTATGGCAGACACAACTGAAAGGGCGCCATGCTAACGGGACCCTGCTGGAATATATGCCAACCGGTCTGTTCTAAGTTCACTTTCCTTTCTGGTCGGATGGAATTTTTCCTTCAAAGAGCTAATTGTTGACAGGAAATTTGCAACATGCAAATTATGCACCCGAGGACGTGTTCTGGGGTGAGCTTGGAGGCTGCCTCGAAGCCTTGGATGCAGGTACCACGACGGTTGTAGATCATGCCCACATGAATGTATCGCCGGCTCATAGTAAGGACCATCTTGTCTTGTATTATTTGTTACTAAAATTCGGTCCAGCTTCGAATGCAATCGAGGCGACGGCGTCGTCTGGGATCAGATCCGTTTTCTGCTACACACCAACTATGCGTGTCAAGGCGTTCAAGCCTGATCTTACCGTTGACGGTGGTCTATTAGATGACTGGGTAATTGATCATCTGAAACACCTGGGTGCCACTGCTCCTTTTGGGGATGAGCGGATCCAGCTGGGATTGGCTTTTGATGGATTCATGCTACCGAAAGATCTTGTCGTCTCTCTTTATACAGAAGCACGAAAGCTCGGAGTCAAAGTAATCACAACGCATTATGTGAAGGGATATTTCAGTGAGTGGAAATGATATCATTCATCTGCCTAAGGCTAATGAGGTGACAGGCGACAACTCACTTGTCGACACCCTTGAATCGTATAATCTCCTTGGACCGGATATTCTTTTTTCGCATGCCACCAATCTTACAGAGACCGATATTTCAAAGCTCACCCAAGCGAAAGCGTGGATCTCCACGACACCTGGTACTGAGTTGCAAATGGGTCACGGTAACATTGTCTGTTTCCGAGAGGGCTGCACTGATATGTGTGCTTTGGGAATTGATTGCCACAGCAACAACTCCGGCGATATGGTCTCACAGATGCGGCTTGCTCTGCAACATGAGCGATCTGATCGCAATGAAAAAGTCATCGCCCACGGCAAAAAGACCGTGTCACTGAACCTCTTCGTTCAAGATGTTTTCCGTCTTGCGACTGTGCAAGGAGCACGAGCCATCCATATGGAAGACAAGCTGGGATCGATTGAAGTTGGGAAATTCGCAGACCTTGTAATCTTTGATGGCAACAGCCCTGGAATGGTCTGCGCTTCCGAAGAAGACCCAGTCGCTGCTATCGTTCTTCACTCCTCGGTTCGTGATATTGATACTGTGATTGTGGATGGTCACATAAGGAAGCGCGGTGGAAAGCTTCGATCTGTGGAAATCGATCCATCCATGACCGACGTGACAATTCCAAAGCAAAATGTGGAGTGGAATCAGGTTGCCAAGGAGCTTATTTCGAGCCGGGGACGGATTCAAGTTGCTATGGTAAAGGCAGGTGCCAATGAGCCCGAACGTCTGACCAAGGCTTTTACAAAGCTTGCGCACCTTGACGAGAGAAAGTTTGTTAATTTGTAAATGTCCTTCATCGTGAAATGTTCAATTTGAGTAATAATGAAACGTTACATCCCTATCGAGTCCGTAAATCCCACTATTCTAAAATCCATAGCCTATAATATGGCTTCAGATGCCTCTGCTTGAGCTTGTCCGCCACCGTCTGACCAAGGTCCATGAATCTGCAGCTATTCATCGCCTAAAGCACCGTCATGTTCAGCCAAAATATAGCAACAGGGTGTTTTAACTCACCCGGTTTAAACCTGGCTGAAACTCCTGAACGAGCACTCCAGGTGAGAGGTTGGGGAGATCGAATTCCGACTACAAAATTCGTTAGGTCATGATGTTGAGACTCGGTGTATTGGTCGGGAGGCTAATCTGTTTTCGAATTCCACTTTACTGGTCTGTCGGCAGCGGTAGTGTATTTGGTTAGCACTCTGAGGCAACTTGCAGGATGACGAACTGGTCATGTTTCATCCTCTGGGCATTGGATTTGAGTCCCGACTCCGGCACAAACTCCATCATCACGGCTCCGTTGGGAGGCATTATTACGACATCAGGCCAGCTTCCTGGATCTTTTTCGGGGAAAGATGTTCAAATGTGGGATGAACGCGCGGATCCGAAATCTACTACAACCGCTATACCTCGGCCTTGGCAACCTTTCAAGGCTGATGTTGTAGCCAGTAAAGCACTGGCCTGCCTTCATGGATGGGTGAACAACCCCAAAAGTGGTCTAGTGACTTTTTGAAGCTTTGGGTGGTCTCGATTTGCGTAACGTCCTTTCATCTCCGGCGTTGATTTGGCGTAAACGGTGTAATGCAGACAGATGATGATTAGTTCACAACTTTTTTTTATATAAATAATATCATGAACAATTGATTTACCCGCCCCCTAGTAATTTTCGAACCAGTGCCTAGAGGTGTGCAAAGTGGCTTGTGAAGTTTCCTCTCAAAAGATATACAGAATCCGGGAGGTGGTTGCCGATGGCGACAGCGATCAAGTAGTGGCTACTACCTCAGCGTATCTTTTCGATATCAAGAAAGCGCTGTCGGGCGGCAAAGTCAGCGCAACTGGTAGGCTCAATGACGGAAGAGGCCCTTCGGGATCTGACCGAGAGGCGTTATGTCAGTCGCTTTGGCACTGTTACCCATAACTCCGACGCTATTGAAGCTCGCAGCGAACCTTCAGTCTTCGAGGCTGAAAAGGTTGAATATGACCTTAGCACAGATAAATTATTCCACGGGACGCATCAAAATGAGGCAGTTACACTAGCTGCGTCGGTATGGTATGGTATCATACAACGTCATATTCTACGAGGCGGTACGAGAGCTCGGTGGAAATCCTTGAAAGTCAACACTGGGTCTCTGGGAATCATGCCGTGAGGCCCGGCCGCACCTCATTCCGGACCGTATGCCAGGTGGCTAGTGCTATGTGAACTGTAATTCGTGGTAGATCTCACACCGCCTAGATTCGACAGTCTCTAGAACTGTAGCAGCGCTTGCAATTCAATGAGCAATTACAGCAGAAGAAAATATACTCAACTAATTGAGGTTCAATGGTAGCTATGAAGAAGACCTTTTGTTTTCCATGGGTTGGGGCCTCATAATATAAGGGGGTATTGTTTTCATTGTGAATCATCGATGCTATTCCTCCAAAATGCTGGCCTCTCACTTCTCATCTCCTCAATACGTTCCTACTCTTTATTCGGATCTTCCATATCCGCCCCATGGCTAAGAAGTAGCTGCTTCACAGCATTGTTCCCTTTTGAAATTGCAGTGTCTAATGGTGTCTCTCCGTTGAGCGCTCTCGCGTTCACATCTGCGCCATTTTCAAGAAGCACTCTTGCCTTGGCAACAGAGTCCCGGTTTGCTGTCCAATGTAAGGGTGTCTTGCCCTCGTCGTCGACGGGGTTTGGATCTGCCCCGTATTTGAAAAGCAGATCAAAGAATGACATATTCTTGTTGCCGACATCCGCAGCTGCATGTAATGGACTGACGCGAAAGGAACGAGTCTCTTCGGTATCAAGACCGGTCATATCCACATCTGCTCCATGATAGAGTAATAGTTCCGCTATATCCTGGTGACCATATTCCACAGCCTGATACAAGGCTGTGCATCCGAATTGGTCTGCGGCGTTGATATCGCCTCCGTACTCAAGTAGCATTTGGACCACAACGTGATTGTCTAGAGATACGGCGTGATGAATAGGGAGGAAATCCTCCATTTGTAGGCTCGCTCCATTTTCAATAAGCAGGCTGATTATATCTCGATGGCCTCCATTTATAGCCAGGGCAAGAGGCTGGATCCCATCTTCATCGATCGTATTTGGGTCCGCGTGAAATTCAAGAAGACGCTGTATACCAATTTGCTGACCAGATGCTGCGCACCGATGTAAAGCAGAACCTGCTAAATATTGGACATTATGTTGATAAAGGAGTGGCATCGAAATTTCATACAAACGACGATTCACTTGAAGTAAGGCAAAGATTTCTTTTTCCGTCTCCAATTGTTCCATGATAAGTAGAAGCAGTTCATTTGGAAGCGTCAGGATCGACATGATGGAGAGAAAAATGGTCCGGTTCACTTAGATGAAGTTTGGCGAGAACGATGTTGAAGTATCCTTTCTAGATTTTAGGGACACGTGTTCGCTAAATTTCGGCGTGACGCTACTGATCAACGACCAAGGTTGGACTAGAGTATGAAAGTGTCGATATGAAAATGACTGTATTGGCTAGTCAAAAGCCCATGGCATGGTACTTGGCGCCTAGCGGTATAGCATTTTCGACAGGAAGTAAATACTGGTGTCCTCTCAGCCAGGAAAATATTCCCCAAATATGAGCCCAAAAGAGAGCCTCTCTGTCCTATCCACCTGATTAAACCTCTACTTTGTCTCAAGCCACTCTACCAACTAACAGGAAGTATCTCCGTATTCCTCGTTCCACACGCTAGGCATTCCGCCCCTCAGATTCATCCGTACATATGCGTTTCGTTTCAGTCTCGCGGCCACCAATTTGCCGGACGAACCTTGAACGCGAAGCTCTGGGTAAACAGAAAGCAGGTAGGCTGCAACACCAGCCACGGTCGGAGCTGCGAACGATGTACCTTCCTTGCGAGCGTATCCAGTTGTACCGGTGGGCAAGGCGCATTCCACACCCCAGAGTTTGGGGTCATTGCTGTTGACAGTTCCGGGTGCCCAGACTTGGACTAACGGGCCACCTTGTGAGAATCGGGATGGATATCCGTCGACATCCACAGAGCCAACGACCACCATACTATCTGCGAAATCGTCCTCCTGTGCAAATAAAGCCGGAATCTGGTCGACATTTTCGCGACCTTTCTGTTTGTCATTACCCGCAGCAACCACGATCACAGCACCAAGGTCCACCATCTGCTTGTAATACGACCTATATTTGCGGTGATCCGAATCACTTTGGTGTCCGAGGGCGTAGCTTAACGAGACAACCGGAAAGAATGCCCCATTGGAAGCTTCCTTTTGCTCCTTAATATCTTCGACAATGGCTTCCAGCCCAGCAAGCATCCAGTCATTATCACCAATATCGACAAAAGGAACCATCTTCAGACTGGCACCCTTAGCCGCACCGTAGACCTGACCTATAGCTTTGTCTGCCACGCATGTTCCATGGCCAGTGGGATCTGTTGTCGGTTTTCCCTTCTTATTCTGAAACTTTTTGAGTCCGTGCCGCTTTGGATAAAGCCACTCAACTTTACCCTTCACGACGCCGGCGGGTGGATCCCTTGTAAACTCCTCGTGTTCCATATTGATGCCAGAGTCGTGAACATAGATGGTAATGCCCGATCCAGCGTAGTCTTGGAAAGCGAAGTCCACCAAATTCCAAACTCGGGTGCCGTGGGGCTGCGAAAGGAATTTCATCTCCGCGTCTACAGGACTTTGTCGCCAGACGTAGCCAGTCGCGCGTTTCGCTAATTTTGGCGAGTCAAATTCATCATCGTACTGTGGTATTATTCCATCAGTTATTGAGGAGTTGGTCGCTGAATGATCCGTCGGTACGGCATTGTCGCCTTGTTCGTATAAACCGATTGGTTTAATCTGCATGCAGACGTGAGTCTAATTTGTGGCGGAAGAGATGTTAGTATAACTAGATATTGACTTACAATATCATCTTTTAAGGCTCCAAACCCGCTAGGAGAGCCATTAGCTGACTGTAAAGCCAGTAACATAATGTATATCGAGCACAGGAACATTTTGTGGTATGCTCTAGGGTAAGCTTCAGCCTCACGCTTTCTCTAGAATACCAATACGGTGAAAGGCAAAATATTATCTTTCGTTGGAGAGCGGGCTAAGTACCCGTAAATAAGTACTTTTCAGCTTGGGAGATCTTCATTTCACTCGAGGTTAGCTCCGGCCCCCGAGCTGCTCGTACATTTGCATAGTGTCGAGAGGCGTGCAAAAGGATGTCGTTAGTGCGAACCGTGCAATACGCCGAGGACTCGCAGGATTCTGCTATTCTCCACCCACGGCCCCTAGTTGACGTCGCGAAGGATTAATCTCCCACGTAAATAGGGATGACTTAGACTTAAATAGTCTAGAACCTATAGTTAGATAATTCGTGACCTCCGGTTCGAGACCACGGTACATTCGGGACTACATAGCAAATACCAGAGTCCCCACTCCTGACATTTAGCGAGATCTAGTTCTAGCAAGACTTGCTGGGCATATGGGCGTCAGAGAGTGATTCTCTTCCACGGGAGCACGGTGTAAGCTTCGCAAAAGGGGTTAACTTTTGCATTCCATCAACAGTTTACAGAGTCCAGAATTAGACTTTCGCGCTTTCCTCGACATGCTCGGATGGTGAGCGTCGTTGGAGCGGCCCCATTTTACGTGGGTCTGAATGCTGATACAGGACGCAGGCACCCATGAAATAACCCAACAGTTTGGAAACGCGCAACTTCTTAGGGGTGGTTCCGTGAACTTTTCAACCTCTTCGGAAAATACTGGCAAAAGAGGGAGCGCTAGTAGACTTCGCCCGCAGCCGAGGCTTTGAACCACCCGCCCTCAAGACACGGCCCTTCCGCCACAGCCACCGGTCCTTAGATTGCGGTCACTGTTCTGAAGGCCTTGGTTCACGGTCCCAGTTGGGCAATAATCTATAGTCCATAGTCTAGCTAGGCCTAGTGTCGGTCAACTAACAATCCGGCTATATTACTGACCCGAGTGATATTGATCGAAATTTCCGGCTGCTGAGAGAAGACACGCCGATGCTCGTGTAGACGATTGTTTGGCCACTATTCACATTGGCGCTCAATACCCACCGCAGGCCAGGTGTTGTACTCGCCGCCCTCGGTGGAGAGAGCATTGTCGCAAAACTCCATGCTAGAGTCATCCGAAATGCAGTCCAACACTAGCTTCAGATTGTTGTTGGTGTATTGGCGAATTTCCTTCACAGCCTCGGGATCCTTGTAGTCAAACACGGTGTCTACGCCAAGCTGGCGGACCAGGTTGAAGTTGTGCGGCGAGCAGGTCGTGAGCACCCTATAGCCGGACGGTTTGGCGAATTGAATAGCTAGGGTGCCGGTGGCTGTAGATCCGCCATAGATAAGGATCGGCAGAGCGTTCTTGACGAGGTCGGTGGGCAGATTCAACTTTGAATTCTTGAAAGCCTGTCCCACAGTGTTAATGCCCGCCCCTAGTGTCGCGGCCACTTGGAAACTCATGTCGTCGGGGATCTTCATTTGCAAACCGCTCTTAGTTAGGATGTACTCGGCGAAGGCGCCGTCCTCGGGTTGCACGGTATTGGAACCGTGCACTAACCCGAAGATGCGGTCGCCTTTGCTGAATTTCTTTTTTACGTTTTTACTGACGGCTTCCACGATGCCCGAATAGTCGCATCCCACAAGTACGCCCGGCGGCGCAAGGAAGGCGATGAGCTTCCAGTCGGAGGGGTTGACGGCCACGCTCACGGTCTTGACGAGGATGTAACCGTCACGTAGAGGCGGGATAGGCCTGTCGGACACGAGGCTCTCAGTGTGAGGCTCAGTGATAACGATGGCTTTTTGTGTAGTCATGGTAGCGACGAACGGCGGCGAGGTTCGTTAGTGCTACGATTGAGCAAGAGTGCAACTGAAGCAAAGACAGGTATAGCGCAGGATATAGCTTTATGGCCGAGCTCTGAGGGTACAGGTCAGCTGCCAATTGCAAAACAGCTAATTACTCATTTACTGTTGTGCAACAAGTGTCGTGGTTGACAAATTATACGTGCTGATAAAGCATACCCTCCCTCGCCCGAAGTTCGTGGTTATAACCACCGAGGAATTGTAACCATACATCAGCACTTATCGTCCAGAGATTAATGACATCAAAGTTGAGAAGATTACCTGCCGTACATTTACACCGTTGCTTAAGAACCATTTACCTATTATATAAGCCAAGTCCACATCCGGCCGAGCTTTGTTTGTCGAATGCTCTGTTCGTGCACAGTCAATCTAACCCAGAACCCTAACGGGTTGTACTCAGCCGCAAATCATTATGCCTTCAAATATTGTAATCACTGGTGCCCTGGTGCCGGGGGATACATGTGGGTATCCTTGAATTGCTGGAATTTGTTGTAGTGGACCTTCGAAAAGCGAAAAGCAGTCTTGTTGACTCGCTATTGGCAGCGGCGAGGAGTTAACCGACGCATACAACATGACTCTCAAGGTTGCGGTATTCAAATATATTTGGAGATTGAAATTCAGATTGTAATCACCCTTAATCGTCTTCTACAGAAATTCCCATCCTAGGAAAACAGGGAAGAGAACGGTGATAATTTTCAGGCTATATACCGAGTTCAAATATATCACTCCGTTAAGACGATACATATCCAGGCTATTGAACTAGACTTTGATTCACCGAAATGCATTTAATATATCCAGTTGTAAATACAACTCGAAAGGAGGATATATATCCAAAAATCAGACAAGGAAGAAAAAGAAAGAGACCAACCCAAAAAGATAAAGCCCAAAGAACGCCGAATTATGAATGAGCCATGTCCATCTAATAATCTATGACACGAAATGCAGAGTCCGAACTCCCAAGAAACAAGTCTTGTCTGACTTCAGTGAAGCAAGACTCGACGTCCTCAAAGCAAAAGGTAAAATGCAAAATGCAAAAAGCAAAAAGCATAAAGCCGAAAACAAAAGCAAAGCGCCAAAATGTAAAGCAACTGTGTGTGAGTGGAGAGTGTGAGAGTGTGTATGTATGCACGTCACAGCCTGTATATAGACCAGACCAGACGAAATGCAAACAAAGATCAAGAAAAAGAATCATATCATCAATGCAAGGAAGATTTCACCTCCTCTCAAGCCACTGCATTAACGAGGCCCTCATTCTAACATTGACCACACCGCCAATGCCATAAGCGGGAACAATCTTCCCCATGCGCGCAAAGCAGCTAGGCACATAATCCCGGCGAATCCTTGCCAGACGATCCGTCCAGGGCAGGCCACCCGCCGGCTGTCTGTTATACAGGTCCAAGCCAAGGAGATGCATAGGCGTGCTGGCGAACTGCATCAGCGCGGGACAGGCGAATTGCGCAGTCGCGGCTTTCATGTTGGGGGTTGAGGCGATGAAGTCTGGTATTGAGGGAGCGATGAGGGCGGGGACATTGAAGGAGGCGAAGATGGTGACGCTGTCGCGGAGGCAGAATAATGAATATGAGATCTTGGGGATGGTGGGCGCTGCTGGTGCTGTCTGCGCGGGTCCTCCTTTCTGGGAGAGGGATAATGGCGGACTTCTCAGCGCGGAATGAGGCTGGGTGTATATACACGATAGAGGAGACGGGGAGGTCGATGCGCCAAAGATCTTGGCGAAGCGCGCGTCTTTGTACATGCATATCCCCATGTTGACAGCCGTTGTGGAGATGAATTTGGCCGGCCCCGGCGTGACGGTGGAGTAGTTCTGGTTGCGCAGGGTGGAGGTTACGGTGTCAATTGTGTTGGCAGTTAGGTAGGTTGATGTATATAGGGTGTAGATGAGGAGGAAGGGCGTGCTGAGGAAGAAGCCGCTGGGGCGGCTGAGCATTGATCGCAAACAGCTGGTTATGGTCTGGCCGATGGGGAAGCCTTTGGAGGCTTTTTCAATGATTGCTCTGGAGGATCGATTGCTTTCATTAGCTTCTTGATCTTCCGCACGGCCAGTGAGAGGGAGGAATGTCGGACAACGCACCGATCAATAATGGTAATCAGCGGACAGGTCAGCGCGCCTGCTGACATGGCGCTGGCGACATCGACGCCGAGTCGCAGACCTATGTCCTTGGAGTTCCATGTTGGCGGTGTCGAGCGCGCGATGGAAGAGCGGTCTTTGATGGTCGCCACGGAGGGAAAGCCGGACGCATTTTGGGCGACGGCATCGGGCATCTCGAAACGAGGGAATACGAATAAATCAACGATGAGCAAACATCGGACCAACAAGCAAGTCGAAAAAGAATGACTCGAATGAAAGAAAGGTGACGACCAAGAATGGTCAAGTCAATGGGGCTAGTCAACAGGGTTAAACTTATCCGGACGAGAAAGGGCCGGGCAGATAGCCGATGCCGGAGTTCGGATAAACGATGAGCAGCCTATAAGAGTAACCTTATAGTTCAAGTACCCGAAGTTACAGCAAAACCATCATAATATTCATTGTCCTAACGCCATCCGAAATATTTGGTGTGTATATACTACTATGCCCTGGGGTGCGCCTCAATACCATCCAGCGTCACATTGACGGCGCCGGCCTGGACGAGCTAAATGCATGTAAAAGTCAGCAAAGTCCACGGTAGTAAATCCGAGCCAACACCCAACTTACCGCTCGTCGCAAATCATCAATCAAATCATCCACATCCTCAATACCAACACACAACCGAATCAGATCCTCAGGCATGGCGCGCTCCGCCCTGGTCTTCGCATCAATACTCGCGTGGCTCATCCGACAGGGCATGCTGATGAGACTATTGACACAGCCAAAGCTAACGGAAATAGCCCAGATCTTAGCACTCTCAACAATGCGCTCGCTCACAGCGGCATCACCCGTTTCGAACGAAAGCACCGCACCCGCGCCGCGCGCCATGGAGTTATGCAGCTCGTACTGCGGGTGCGAGCGCAGGCCGGGGTAGCGGACCTTGAAGCCGTGGGTCTCGAGGAACTCGGCGATGCGGTGCGCGTTACTTTGTTGCTGCTCCATGCGCACTTTCAGGGTTTTCACTCCGCGCATGAGTAGCCAGGAGTCGAAGGGCGAGAGACCGCAGCCGGATGCATTGATAGTAAAATACAACCGTTCGCCGAGAGCGATGTCGTTGACTGCGATCACGCCGGCCATTAGATCGTGGTGGCCTGATAGGTACTTCGTGCCGCTTTCGTAGACGATGTCGGCACCCAGTTCGAGTGGGTTGAGGAGGAGGGGGGACATCATGGTGTTGTCGACGGAGACCAGGCAGGCGGGGTTTGCTTCGTGTGCGGCGGCTGCGATCTTGCCGATGTCCACAATCTTGATGAGTGGATTTGTGGGCGTTTCCAGGAGAACCATGGCTGTTTTGGGGCTGAGCACTTCGACCACTTTGTCAGGGTTTGTCGTGTCGACGTGGTGTACAATGATCCCGCCGTTTGTTGAAAGGTACTTCAGCAGCCGGTTCGAGCCCCCGTACAGGTCGTCACCGGTGACGACCTCGTCGCCTGGTCGGAGAAGCCGCGTGATCACGTCGAGGGCGGCCATGCCGGAAGAGACAACCAGCGCGCGCTGCGCGGACATGATCTTGGCGAGGTGTCGCTCGAGGTGTGTGCGGGTGGGATTGCCCGAGCGGGTGTAGTCATACTCGCCGCCGCCAGCACCGGAGGTTTGCTTGAAGGTTGCGCTCTGTGAAGATCAAGCAGGTCAGCATTGACTTCCCTCTCTGACAATAGTGTATCTCAATGCTCACCTGGTAGATTGGCACACTGCTAGCATTGTACTGATCACTCCCCTCGGTAAAGACCAGTTCGGTGGCAATAGCATATCGGCGACCGGCGTGCGGGCTGGACGGCGCAGGCGAGGGCGGAAGATCATTGCCCTGCAGATCGACGTGAGGGAAGGCCTTCTTCAGAGCGCTGGATGGCCCCGACGCAGCATTGGGTGCTCCGGATCCTGACTCCGACATCGCTGCAGAGCGGGGCAGACAGAGCGAGAGAGGGAAGGAGAGGTGAGGTGAAAAGATAATTGAAAGGAAGAGGGCAGGTACAAATCAAAGCAAAGAAGAAGAAGAGGAATCAGAGTGACCTGAAATATGTAGAGAGAGAGAGAGTTCGCATTGAAAATTGTTGATGCACTCGATGACTCTGGCTTGCCCCAGAATTGGCACTGCGCGGTGATTGGCCGAGACCCGGCCGCAGCGATTTCGTCATCCGCTAGGGTGAATGGGGGTTAGTGCATGATGTTTATTCCTCAGGCATCAACCAACTACTACCATTGAACAGAAGAATACATCAATCCATTTTACCTTCCTAACACTAACGCAGCAGACACCATAGCAAAATCAATATCCACAGAACCAAGTCACACACTAGAGCCAAAGACAAAAGTAACCAAAACGCCCCATCCTGTTCCACCATATGTTTTGGGGAGCCCAGAAGAAAGTGTTTATGTACCAGCGGGAGTAGAGGAGAGGATTAGGGTGCTACTACAAAGAACTTTGTGCAATGCTTGACCGCCATCAAGCCGCCAGATCGCCAAAGCCGCCGTTGATGCCGAAGAATTGGAACCTGAAGCAAGCAAGGTTAGCACGGATCAAGTCGGTGGGAGCGAGACAGGGAGCATACCAATCTTCCACGTTCAGGGTCGTGGGCGCAGTCGGCCCACTGCGTGAGCTGCTGCTCCAATTGTCGTCCTGGCTGGCCGCGTCCAGGGCCGCGCCGCTCAGAGTCCCGTCCAGGCTTTGCATCGGCCACTGCTGGCCCTCCATGCCAAACATCTGCTGCGGCGCCGCCGTGGCCGGCATCCCCAAGCCGGCAGGAACACCGGACATCAGCTGCGGACTACCCTGCGACACAGACATGCTGCGGGTAGGGACCTGCTGAGGCTGGGCGCCCATCATTGGCCGCTGGCCGATGTTCGGAGCTTGCATGTTCGTCGGCATTTGGAGCTGCGGGTCCATGGTCGTTGGGGGAGGAGGGGATGTAAGTTCTGGGAAGATGGCCGTGCCGTCGGGGAAGAGCTGGTCGGGCTGGAAATTCTCCCAAAGCGAGGGGGAGAGGTTGGGGGATGTGCGCGTTACCAGGAAGAAATCAGGAGGAGTGGCGGGGAGAGAGAACTGGGCGTTGAAAGGGGTGGTCGGACGAGTATTGCCGCGCGAGTTGGCTGGCCCACCTCCCACAGGGTCCTGGGCACCGCGGTGTGCGTTTGCGTTGGGAGACGTCTGGCCCAGGGGAGGTTGATTGAGTTCTCGGGAGGGGGTGACGGCCGGTGTCTGAGGCCGAGAACGCTCGTACGAGACAGGAGGCGTTGGACCGCCGTTGGGCAGTCCAAGATCCATATCGTCGAACTTGCGCTTCGGCGGCTCTGGCTGCTTCTTTGAGGCAGCGGCGTGATCATGCCGGGTTCGCTGGTGCCTCCTACCGGCAGCCTTCTGCAGGCGCTCTTCCAGGATCTTGTTGCCAAGGATAGACTCGAACAATGTATTCACCATCTTCGCAACCAGCCACACCTTGGATACATCCTTGAGGGCATGCATGCAGACGTGGATCCTTTCCTGGCAGGTTGCCACAATAGAGGGGACCGACGAACGCATTTGATACACGTGCATGATCAGAGCCGAAAACAAGCTGTAGACAATGAACGCGGGGGCATATCGGATTTCCTGGTGCGCCTGCAAGTTCTCGACAATGGATGTGATCATGCCCGCGGCCTGGAAAGCAATCGTGCGCGATGGATACGCCATTTCCTCCGTTCGGTAGCTACCCGGCGCCGACGAGGCTGGTGGCATGTGCGCCCGGTGCAGAAGACAGAGCGTGGTGTAGTAGTTGGAGTGGAGAAGAGCAGCCCAGAAATGGTGTTGGGATCGTTGCCAGCACACTTCCTTGGGACAGTTCTGAAGCCAGTCGGCTAACGCCATGTCGGAGTGGGTAAGGTCCATAGCGTTCATACGGCGTGACTTGGATGCCACCGAGTACTGTTGCGAGAGCACCAGACCCATGATTTCGCACAGCTTGACATACTGCAAGAAGAATTGCACGTGGACCGGATCCGGGGGATATTCAGCCTTGATGTCGAGCTCGTCTTCGATAAAATCATCCTCCGTCACCATCTCGACGTCCGAGTCGTCGGTGTTGATTCCAATCGGCCGACCCAGCGCCACTGCCACGGATCTGTCGCGAGTGAAGAGCGCCCACCAGATTCTCTTCCAGAGTCTCTTGTCGGGCTTGCTCAGCTGGGAGGTCTCCACGCTGCGGTGCATGCCAGAGCCCTGAGCCACAACTATTGCGACTCGGGTCCAGTAGAACACGTTCTTCGTAACATCTACAACCAGTCAGTATCAGGATGGTTTCAATTATCTGAAGAAACTCACCCTCAGGTCCTTCCCAGTACCAGCCCAGGAGCACCAACGCTTGCACAATGGTGACCCGATCATCCTCATAGTTGGCATCATACAGGGCCTTGGCCCGCTTGTAGAAGGTCATCGCAGCCGGCGTTGTCGATCCATTGGCATCCATGAGCTGCGGGTTGGTGCACACTCGCGATCCGGCCAGCAGAATCGCCTGCAGCAAGAGCAGCGACGGTGGGTTTTTGGGGTCCCGGTACTGGCGCATGAACCGACTGCGGTTGATGATGGGCACGACGGGCGCGACCCATTTGAAATAGGCATCGACCAGCTCGTCACACAGCGGCTTCGGTGGAAGAAGAAACGCACCACGCTGGTGGAGAATGTCAATCTCCAGATTATCCAAGTCTGTCAGACGCGCACGAGACCCTCTGATATTCGGCGGCAGTGGGTAGTGGACCACATCTGTCGTGCCGTGACGATCCTGAACCAACAGCGACAAATTCGACGATTCGCCCAGATATGCCACACGGCCTGCCTCTTTAATCGGGGCGCGCGCAAACTTGGGCTTCATGAACTGCGCATAGGCATTGTCCGCCGAGGCCTGCATGGCGGCCTCCGACTCGGTGAGAGAGGTGACCGGCATGCCGTCGACGGCCATCCGGTTGCTTCGGTATCCAAGCACCTCATCCTTCTCGTCTGAGTCGGTCGAATGCCCCTGTTGGTCGTTGAATACGGCAGGCAAGTCGGAGCCGGCCGAGGGTCGGAAGTGAGCAACCGCCGCGTCGACCACGGACGATGCACTTGGAGGCGGACTGTCACCGTACTCACCGCCCTCCTTGCCCTTAGATTGGCCTGTGTTCTTCTTGCGTTTCGGGGTAGGGATCTTGCACTCGATGGAGAAGGCGACACAGTTGGTGCAGGGGACGCCCAGGCTGGCGGCGTCACAACGAACCTATTTCATACGAAAGTCAGAACAAGCGACCGTATCAATTTTGTTCGGGGCTACTTACCTTGCGGGAATGGCATGTCTAAAACACGACAATAAAAAAAAACGTGGTCAGCTTGGTCACCAGAAATACATATTGTGTGTGTGGTGCTGCTTGTTTGCGATAAGCAACGGGGCCGAGGTGCCGAGGCACCCTCCCCCCAGCAGCATCAGATCGATCGCGTCTCGACCGTCGAAACAAAAAGGACGTACCTCGCACGCGCGTGATGCACGTTGTCTAGAGATTAGATAAATCCAGTCAACATCTGATAAAATAGTGAAACATCGCCTAACGTCGCCGCAAAATCTCCGTCTCTCTCTTCTCTTTGCGCCCGAAACAAGACCCCGCGACCGCAACGGCCCCCATCAAACACAGGAAAAGTGCATTGCTTACCTTCTGAAACTCATCTGTGAATTGTTCGGACCACCGCGCACGGTGATCCCGGATGTTCCTGTCGAGCCCGCGGCGCTGGGAGCAGGGCTGCCGTGGTTGGCCGGGTATGATTCGGCGTGCGACTCCGTCGTAGTGCTCATGGCCGACTGCCCAGGCACTGGATCGACTTCCACTCGAGTCTGTAGGGAGGGGCGGGAGGGTAGGGAGCGAGGGAGAGAAGGTAGGTGAGAGTCGGAAGAGGAGGGGGCGGAGAGGAGGAGGAAGAGTATAAAGGAGGGACTGGGACTGGGGGGAGAGAAAGGGGATTTGTGTGGGAGGATGAGGATAGGCTGGGTCAGGGAATTGGGATGGAGGGAGGGAGGGTAGACTGGATGGACTGCAGCCTACTCGCGCGCCACTCAAACCGGAAGGGGGAAGAAAAAGGACCGGAAGAGGAAGAAGAGGTGGAATGAATGGGAAGGGGAATATCAGAATGGCTGGATGGATGGGATGGGATGGGATGGGATGGACTCTGAAGGGAAAACGGTGTGGTGTGTGGCAATACGGATCATCTGAGGTCATGGTGGAGATGAGGGTGTAGAGTGGCTGATACGACTAGGCGGTAATGGTCTGATGCGTGAGTGAGCTCGAGGTATATAATAGCGACTGTGTCTACACTCTTCAGTTCCGGTCTTAATGTAATGATATATGGTACACTACCTCCTCTATACTCCGTCGGTGGTGGAAGAGTCGAGAACTGGGGAGTCTCACTGGTTTCACCCCAGTCCACTCCACCGCCGTGGAAATACCACACCAGACCACCTTCAGCCTCTTCCTCCCCGCCAAAGGGGGCGGAATCGATCAATCCGACGAACGCACCAACCACCACGGTAGGTAACAACAACACTAATAATCACGGCCTTAAGATACAGTAACCTCACTACGATGGAAGAATCCGGTTCTCGGCCACCTTAGTGAGACAATAGCGCCAGAGCCACTACGCAGATCTACTCAGCCGGAGATCATGCGAGCCGATCACCACTATTTCCAACTGTGGGAAGTAAGTGTTAGATTTTGCGGGGAACAGGAAGTACGGAAATACGCGAAGGATGGATGCGGGCGTCTGCGGGGATGGTGGCAGGGGCTGATAGTCAGTGCGCGTTCTGGCTGACCCGTAAAGAAGGCGTATAGGATGTTGGTAGATAGAGAGGAACAGAGAGACGGTCAGATCTTGTGATGCCGAGGTTCAACTGTTCCGCCCAGCTTGGGCCAATCAGGTGGTCTCTGAATAAGCTAAGCCCGCCATCCATGTCAGGCACCATGGACTGCAGTGGATACTCGCGGGGACCATGGAAGTCAACGAATGAGGCCAGTTCAGAGGAGCGGTCCATGTATTCAACATCAACGACCGTAGCTAGGAATACAGTAGGTACAAGAGTCCCGGCCCCAATTAAAAATCAAGACTGACCCAAGTAAGTATGCAAGTATCAGCCACCCTTCTTCTTCGCCTTCGTCTTCATCTTCTTACTTCCCCCGTTTCCGTTCCCGTTCGTCGGCGGACCTCCGCCTCCACCCTCATGCCCGCATTCCACGGAACCCTCCACAGCACTCGCCACCTCCCCCAGCTTGGAAGCAGTAGTGGGCCACGGCCCAAACTCGACGCCGCTGATGAACACCTCGCTGAGGAACTCCAGGCCCGCGACGAAAGTGCACAGGAAGCTAGCGATGCAGAAGTGGCTGATCGTCATGCCGATATCCAGCCACGAGCCCTCATCGCGCACCATGTAGAAGAAGTTGAGGGTCATCACGTCCGAGAGCGCCATCACCACCATGAACAAGGCGCTGGGCGCGACTTCTAGACGGCGGTTGAGGATCCCCAGATTGGCGCTGATGATGGCGAAGGGAATTAGGATTTGAAAGATGAGGAGCGCGGCTTGGCTGAAGGGGTTGAACACGGGAACTAGGCGGACGACGCTGTCGAGGGAAAAGGTCGAGACGGAGGCGACGTTGCCGGTGCTGAAGAAGGCGGACTGTAGTAGGAAGAAAAAGAATAGGGCCACCCGGGTGTCGGAGAGGGTGAGGGCTCGGTAGTGGTATGTCTGTCCCTCGACAGTGGCCGTCGCCGTGTCGGATTTCCTGTTGTCCAGGACAGGCCTCGATCCAGCCGTGTGAACGTAGATGGCGTGTTCGAGGCGCACCCATGTTACGAGGGTCATGCAGAACACAAAGTAGAACAGGCCCTCGTAGGAGATGGCGAGGATGATGAAGGTTGGTGAGAAGGTCAGGAAGAGGACCATGAGACGGTGCAGGTAGTGGCTGTTAGGGTAAAGGCGATGCAGGAAGGGCGATGCGAGGGAGGCCACTGCGCAATATTAGATAGGATCCGAGAGACATGCAACTTCAAAACTTACCTAGGACGAACCACCCCACCACCAAGTTTCCAAAAGGCAACCCCTGGCGAGCCTGAAGAGAGAAGACACTAGACCGGGTGACAACCAAGGCGAGCAGAATCATGCCGATCTGTGAGCCCATGATAATCCGCGCGCCTAGACTGCTGAGGGAGGCTTGCGATGAAGAACCGCGGTGGCCAATGATGGCATCCTCGAAAAGCAAATACAAAACGCCGGTGAAGAACATCAGAAACGCGCCATAGGTACTTGACAGCCGGTCAACAGGTATTCAATTGGTGGTTCAAGAAACCTACATGGTATCAATGTTCTCCATTTTGGTCACCGGGAGAAGAGTAAACGTGGCCATCAATCCACTGGCAACTGCCCATGTTGTCGATAGAAGCACATGGTTGCGAATGAAGTCCATGCCGTAGAAAGTAGGCCAGAAAACGGCCAAGGCAAAGCAGACAGTGAATATTTCCCGATGGAAATAGGATTGGACCTGGCGAGGAACGAGTCAGAAATTGCAGAGAAAAAGAAGAGTGAGACATACGAGAGCCTCAAGGACAGCAAGGAATGCTAGCAACTGGAGTCCAAAAGTCAGGTAGCCCTTGAACGAACGGACATGACCGAGAACAATCTCCCGGCCGGCAGTCAAAGCCTTGCGGCGAGCGAAAACTTCTTCCCAGAAGTAGACGGGGAACACGCCGTAGAAGTAGTACCGCCATGAGGACCCTTGGTAGAGGAAAACAGAAAACAAAACCACTAGAATGGATGAGAAGAACATGGTGCTGGCCATCGTCCGATTTGAGTCCGTGGCGCCATGCAGGACGTGCAGGTCAATCACCGAAGTGAGAGCGTACGCGATCCAGCCCAAGTAGCCCAGAGAAACGACGGTGCGCAGGAAGAGCCAATCGTACGTTTGCAGGTAACGCAGACCCTCAAGCGCGGTGGACAACAGTTCCGATGATAAAGCAATGGACTCCTCATAAGCGCCATTGGTGATAAGTGCTTCAACTTTGGAGAGTCTTCCTTCGACAGAGGTTTCTTCATGGCCAGAAAGAGGCTCGAAGGGCACGTACCGAAGCACGGCCTCCCTTTTCTGCTCTTCCTTGACCCGGTACATCTCTAGCACACCCCGCGTATTTGCAAGAGCGGCCATTGCTTTCTCCTGTGGGCTGGCATCGAGATATGCCAGCGGCAGTTGGCCCACAGAATTCACAGGGTAGTCCAGGCCAACCAGATATGCCATGAGAGCAGCCACATCGGCCTGTGCCACGTCATGGCGGAGGACCTGGTCAAATCCCCAATCCGACGAAAACCCGTCTTCGTGGCCAGTCACATCCGCGCCATTGGTAGTTTTGGGGCTCGCAACCCCGGATCCCCAGGCAACCAACGGCGTGCGGGTGTTGTCCGGATGCCCGTCTCCATGGCTACCCTTGTCGCTCATCCCGTGGTCCGCGGTGAAGACGAATGCTGTTTTGCCATCTCCGTAGAAATCCTGCACCAATTTTGTAACCGATTGCACTCCCTTGTCGACGATCTTGATGTTGTGCAGGTATTCCTTGGAGTAAGGGCGAAAGGCATGGCCGGTGGTGTCCAATCCCAGCAAATGCAGGAAAAATACTAATTTGTCGTCGCGCAGCTTCCGATCCAGCTCCGGGTCGGTCTTTGCAGACTCGAACAGCCCGTGCACTTTGTCAAATACCCAGGTATCCAGGTGTGTCGCGTCCACGGTGAAATCCTCCGCTTCCTCGCTGTACGTCTCCGCGTCCACCCTGCCGGGTACCGCGCCTTCCTTAAACATGGGAAGGATATCCGGACTACCCCAGCTCCACGTGTGCCGACTCTGGTTAAATACGCTATCAAAGTTGACAGGGTTCATCTTCCAACCCGTTGTCACAGCCGAAACATCCTCGTACAGGCCCGCGATGAGTGCAACATGGCCGGGGCGAGATTCGGTGGGGACGCGAGTATGGGAGACGCCAAACGTGCCATGTGAGAGCACCTGCGAGCGAATAAAAGGTGCCAGGCGGATCAATTGGTTGCTGTCGCGATCGGGGGATTCGGGGGATGGGTCTGGGAAGGCCTGGAAAGCCTTGTCGGCGCGTAGACCGTCGGCGACGAACAGGACAAGACGTTTTGCGGGGGCATCGGTGCCAGCGGGTCTTTCGACACCGTAGGATCGCATGCCCCGAACAATGGGGCTCACGAAGTAGATGTCGAAGATGGAGTAGGTATAGATCAAGTGGAAGACCACGGCGAGGGTAAGGAACCCAAGGCGACCGAGACGCGCCATGATTTCGCTCCGCTCACAGGGGGTTCCAAAGGAATGCCGGGGTTGGAGAAAGAAAAGAGTGGACAGAATCCCCTGGATGGAACAAAAACAAGAAGTTGCGGACACTCGTTTGGGGAACTTGGGGGGACTTGGCGGTGAGCCAATAAGGCCGTGTCAATGGAGATTTTGCCAGGCACGAGTATAAAACAAGGTAGATTACTGGGCTATAGGACCAGAAAAGGCGACAAGTTGAATATTTACAAGAACAACAAGAGCGGTATCCAAAAGAAAAGAGGAAACTCCAAACACAACCACCCAAACACCTATATAGCACCATACCTACTGCGCCGAACTCGATCGTCGCTTGGTCAATGCATCCATCACTCTCGTGTAAAACTTGGACGCTTGCTGCCGATTGAAAGTAATGTCTACCGTCAAGAAATCCGGCAGGATATCCACCAATTCACGGTCACGGTTAGCATCCAAGAGAGGGAGATACTGGAATTCCGCAGTCTCGTAGTCAGCCGCGGAGGCCATTGGAATGGCTAGTTTGAAATGCAGAGCTGCCAAGGTTTAGCAATTATCCAGATCAAAAAGACAGGAGCAAACTTACATCCGTTGACGCCGGTCTGAATACAATCATACAGGTGATCCGATTCGCGGGTTTTAACATCGCGGACGATCAAACCCGTGAGATCACTGTACAAATCTTCCTTGAGCTGCGCGACCTGTGCAGCTTCGGCACTAGCGGCCAATGTTGCGCGACTGGCTCCTCCACCCTTGATAGCACTGCCGGGAGCCTTTGCAGCGCTCTCGAGACTCGCAGCTGTGTTTCGCGCAGCTGCGAGCTTCGTTCCGAGCGTCTTGATCTCAGATTGTGCGGAAGCAAGCTGATTGCGCGCCTCGTCGGCCTGTGCCTGGAGCCGTGCCATCTCAGTGTCGCGGTCTTTTAATTGCTTTTGGAAGCCGCGACTCTGCTGTCCTAGAGCTCGCTGCGCCTCCAACTCCGATTTCAGGGAAGCAATCAACTCATTCGATGCTAGCAGGTTTGTTAGCTTTGCTCCATAACTTGTCACTTGAATGAACATACCCGTAGTGACATTTTCACATTGCTTCCGCAGCTTCTCCATATTGGAATTTGCTTCGACAATGCCAATTTCGCGAAGATTACGGTATTTGATCTCCAAAGCATCATGTTTTTTGGTGAGTTCACCCAACCTCCGTCGCAAGTCGGGATCCCCGCCGTTGGGCTCGGACTCCATGCCCAGTCTGCGCTTACGAGGAGAGGAATCTTGAGAGTTTCGCAAAGCGGTAATTCGAGCACGAGCGTTCTTGGTCACATAGCGACTGGCACTGGGCGGATCTGGGAAAACGGTCTCGTCCACCCCATCTTCTGCATCATACTCCTCGTCTTCCCGCTGTGACTCGGGCACTTCAGGCTTGGCGATCTGCCGCCGTGATCCACGGGGTTCGGCCAGTGCCTGCGAGGTTCCACTGGAAGCGATTTTCCGCGTACCGGTGGGTGTGAATTCGAATTCACCATCGGTCTGCATTTGCTTTGTCGTACTAGTTGCCGTTGTCGCGCTGGTCATGCGAGGGCGTCCTCTGCCACGCGTCGCCGCAGGTTTTCCTGCGTTTGCAGTCTTTTTCTCCGTCCGGGCAGCAGGATCCTCATTTTCTTGCTCATAGTCGTCGGCGCCGTCGGTTCCCACCGACGCTGCGCGACTACTGCCTCTTGGCCTTCCTCGCTTAGCGGGTTGTTTGGTTGCAGCTGTCGCGGCCTTGGTTTTGGGCTCCGGCGCATCCTCATGCGAGATGCGTGGTCGACCGCGTCGCTTCTTGGCGGGGGCTTCGGGGTTGGCAGGAAGGTTCTCATTTTCGGTCAATTGGATGATGTCCTCGTCGTCCGAGTCAACGAGTCCCGAGATCTTGGAGGGCGCTTTCCGCTTCGGCATGGCGGGGATGGATAAGAATGATGTGAAGGAGGGAGATAACTAACTTAACTATGGGATCAAACACGCGCGAAACAAACCACAACAAAAAGACCAACCCGCGTCATGGGCATGTGATCTCCAGCCACAAACGCCACACTTGCCCCGAGGCCCGACCAAGTAACTTGTCTCTCTCTCCCCGTCTCTATCTTCTCTTGACCACTCCCCTCATCCCCTGCCATTATTTTTTTATCATTATGGCTTCAGCAGGCGGCCGCCGATGGCAACAGTTCCTGCAGGAGCTGGTCATGATTGCCGGCACAGTGAGTGACATTCCATGCCCTACTAATCATGGTTCAGAACTGACGCTGTCTCCAGTCGGCCTCTGCCTACTTTCTCATTCGCTATCTCCTGTCGCGCGTTGATTTCGATCCAGAGAGCCAGAAGAAAGAGGAGCAAAAGCGGAAGTCTGCTGCTATCTTGCGCAGATTGGATGGCGGAGATGAATCGGACGGCGACTCGCCGCGGAGAGGAGGGACAAAACGGGGAGGACGCCGACAACGTCGCGGGGAGCTCTCCCTCACTCAATATGAACAAGCGATCGCTATGGACGTTGTCGCCCCGGAGGATATTGCTGTCTCGTTCGAAGACATTGGAGGACTTGACGAGATCATCGACGAATTAAAGGAGTCGGTCATCTACCCGCTGACCATGCCGCATCTGTACACCTCTACATCTTCTCTTCTCACCGCGCCATCTGGCGTGTTGCTCTATGGTCCGCCGGGGTGCGGCAAAACCATGCTGGCCAAAGCCCTCGCCCACGAGAGTGGAGCCTGTTTTATCAACTTGCATATCTCGACTTTGACGGAGAAGTGGTACGGTGATTCCAACAAGCTTGTCAATGCGGTATTTTCTCTTGCGCGCAAACTCCAGCCCTCCATTGTCTTCATTGATGAAATCGATGCGGTGCTCGGGACTCGGAGAAGTGGCGAGCACGAAGCCAGCGGAATGGTCAAGGCAGAATTCATGACGCACTGGGACGGTTTGATGTCCGCCAATTCTATGGGAGAGCCGCAGCGCATTGTTGTTCTTGGCGCAACCAACCGCATTCAGGATATCGACGAAGCCATCCTCCGACGAATGCCCAAGAAGTTCCCAGTTACCCTCCCTCCGGCGGCACAGCGACTTCGCATTCTCAGCCTGATCCTCAAGGACACCAAGGTCGACCGCGACAATTTCGATTTACATTATTTGGTCAAGACAATGGCCGGTATGTCTGGTAGCGACATCAAAGAAGCGTGTCGCGATGCAGCCATGGTCCCTGTGCGGGAACTCATTCGCCAGAAGAAAGCCAGCGGCGCGCAAATGACTGCGGTTGATCCTCAAGAAGTGCGCGGTCTTCGCACAGAAGACTTTTTTGGTCGCGCCGGTGGTATAAAGGTCTTTCCGCAGCCTACGCCGGCCGCAGCCATGGTGGCCAGGGCGGCCAAGGACGCGGATAAGGAAGAGAAGGAATGGAGCACCGAGGATGAGACATCCTCTGAAGCCGACGCGCGACCTGCAGTGATGGCTGAGCCTCCGGAGTGACTTGTATAGTTTTTTGATGTTATCGTAATGGCATTCGCCGCGCGAGAGGGCGTTGGATCTTGGATATGTCGGATTGATACCGGGGTCATTACCTGGGTCTTGTTGCTTGTCTTGCACGATCTTTGTCTATAGAACTGTCGACGGATTTCATGTATAATGTACACATTTAATACCATTGCAGCGCATACATCCACGTTAAGGTGTCAACCGCGTACGGAAGGTACCGGTACCTCTCGCTCGGGAGAATCCCCCAGCCAACGTCATGTACTGCTACTTGCTCGCCGCCTGCCGATCATCCACCAGCCCGACCGAACAAGCGTCTCTCCTTCATTACGCCGGTGGCTTCTTATCCTTCTGGCCCGTCCCTGTACAGAGTCTGCTACCAACAACCCGGTTGGTTTTCCGCCATTCTTTTCCTTCCTCGTCCTCCATTCTCCGTGCTGTTTGTTCCAGGGTGGGTCGCCTCCCTGACTCCCTGGACAACCATCATTCCCGGCCCGTTCCATCACATCATCCGCAGAGGTGGCTCACTGGTGATCCGCCTTGTACGAGAGGAAGTGGCAGTTGTGCTATAAACTACTCGCCTCCAGAGTTCCGGCTGGTTGCATGATTGCGCCTTGGCCTGTGTTGCTCGGTCGTAAGGCCACGAATGCGCCTCTGAGGGTGGATGACGAATGGGTCTCGTCTAGGAGACCACCGATGGCAATCAGTGCCCTGGCGACGCACAACTGGTCTTTAAGGGAGCAGACGAACCACCACCCTTGAAGCAAGGCTTCTACCAGCCTCACGGATAGGAATGAGTCCCCCAAACACCTTTGCCAATGCTTCCCCGAGCTCCAATCCCGTCAGCGCAAGCGCCAGCACCCGCACGTCCACCTCCGAGATCCGGTCGCGTCCACGCCGCTTCGTCTCGTTAATGGATGGAGATGACGATACCAGTAACAGCAATATCTCCTATAACAATGACTTGCAACCGCTCTCCTCTGCCACTCCGGAAATTGGGGCCACGAGGTCCCGCGGTGCCACTCCTTCGCCCTTGTCGTCCCGTGGTGTTTCGCCCCTACCCATGATACGCCCATCTCGTGCCACCGAGTCGTCCAATCGCGGCGTCCGCAACGAAATTGCCTCTGGTTGGAACGGATCTCCAAAACAGTCATCCTCGCGCGGGCCGGTGGACTTCTTGGACTCGCCATGGTCATCCCTCCAGAGCATGGCCTCTTCAGTATTAGGGAGCGACATGGGACGAATAACACCAAATAGCGCCGCCCAGGTCCTTTCACGGAGGAAACCATCGAGACCAGATCTATACTATAACGCGCCGAGATCAAGCAGTTCAACCTGGGGTCCCTCTGGGCGTTCGACTCCGGAAATTGGAGCCGGTACAAAGGAAGAACGGCAGGCGATGGTGCAGGCGAAGAAGCGCGAGGCTCTTTTACTTGCTGATACCGGTCCAACCTCGAGCCGCGATCTTCGGCATAAACGAAGGATTTCTGAAGACTATTCAGATCAGGCGCCTGATCCAGAACATGACGAGGAGGCCTTGGCATACGTTCACAATGTACAAGCAAGTGACAGCATCACGGGCGTGACGATCAAATATGGGTGTCAAGCTGCGGTCTTCCGCAAGGCGAACGGCTTCTGGCCCAATGATGACATCCAAAGCAGAAATACGGTTCTTTTACCAGTTGATGCATGCACAGTGAAAGGCCGACCCGTGCAACCCAAGGACAGTCTGAATCTCTTGAACAAGTCTTCTCGCGATTCACTCGAAGACCCCAAAGGCAGCTCTATTGTCCCGTTACCCACCCCTTCTCCCGCACGAACAACCTTCTCTCGCTCATCTGAGCCGGAACGAAATCGGACCTGGAAACATGAGTCCTGGGTACAAATAGATGGGTTCCCTGCGCCGGTGGAGATTGGCCGTGTTCCTCGAAGGTCATTAGGATTCTTTCCTCGCACGCGGCGAAAATCGATCCACTACACAGACATAGAGCCATCTGGCTCCTCTCGAGAAAGCCCCAGACTCCCCTCCCCGCCTGGATCACCGCGGTCTTCAGCAGGCAAAGGTCCTGGAACTAAATCTGGTGACGAACAACCAAAGCCAACAGGCCCCTCGTATCCTACCCGTCCACGCCATCTCCGCCAGCGCAGTAGCATCCAGCTCACTGGTACGGGAGTTGGCACACTTGATCGCACCTCAACTGTCCCAGGACCTGCTTTGGATGGCCTGACCCGATTTTTCGCACAACACATGCCAACGCTAGCTCCACCTCCACCACCCGCCAACCTCCGAAGATCCTCCTTCGAGTCCGCATCAACAGTGACCTCCACCGCATCAAACGGCCTCGAGAACATTGGCGGCGCCTTCGAAGGCTGGGTCCGAAAAGTCACCACTCGCGCCAAAGCCGGACTCAGTGAGCTGCAGCAAGGATCACCGAACCAGCGAGCGTACGATCGAGGCCGCCAAACAGGCATCCGAGGACCGGGCGATCTGATCGAGCTAGACGACGCTTGCTCCTTGGATGGCCGGAATTCTCCTGCTTCCTTTGCTCGTGTACCAACACCCGATCTGCAAGGCGCTGCCTCCTCGTCCTCGTCTTTCCGCTTCGCCAGCCCCTCCGTGTCTACGACGAGCAGGTCTCGCGCAACAACGGGCCTTGGAGGCGGAGGTGGGTCGACTTCTCATGCCTCCGAGCGTCTGAAAGACGACTGACCGACTGACTGACTGACTGATGTGTCTGATTTGCCATCTGCAACCTCGTACATAATAGAGTCTTCCGTCTTGTCTGTGGATTGGATTGCAACGGAATGTTCACGATTTGCATTTCATCTCTTCTTCTTCTTCTTCTTCTTCTTCTTCTTCTCCTCCTCCTTCCCCTTCTCCATTTTTTCTTCTCTCATCTCAGAGACCCGTTCATTAGCGAGCTTCGTCTTTTTCTCCTACTTTTATTTTTCTTCTTCGCAGCGACCTTTCGAATAGGAATGACTATTGAACTCAAGTCTCGCATGCACATGGCCGATCTGGACAGATTGATGCTCCGTGCGTACTGCCGCCGATTTGACACGATAGGGGATTGTTTGGATGGATGGATGAGTGGATGGTTGGTGTGTGTATGTCAAGATGATAATAAAGCTGTTGTGGCACGATCTTATTTATGTCTTGTTTGGTCGGCGGTATCATCCCCGAGGTCGTTTCGTTTCTGGCAGACATCGCGGATGTACAAGTCTGGTGGCAGTGCGTCCTGTATCATCGAATTTCACAATATAGTGCTAGCTATGGAGAGTTGAACCGTGTGGCCTGTGCACTAAGGAATCGTAGCTCCGTCATCAAGACCACCAAGGACATCTCTACGATTAAAAGGTAATTGGGCCTAATGATTTCGCAAGACGAAAAAAATTACCAGCCCAAGTCATTTCCTGTCTACGCTTGTGGTGTT